TGAAAAAGTTAGTGTCACGAGCCTCTCAACCAAGACCTTACGTACCTTACCTTAAGAAATCGTGAGATGCAGTCTGGTCTCCCGATTTCTGAATAATTATCGATTAAAGGTCACTAATCACCACACACTTACCTTAAGATATCAATAAAATAAAATAAAATAAATAAATATAAAATCTTATATATATATATAATCTATCCTTGGATATTGTTTTTATCGACTGTCCTTAATTAATCAATTTGCTAAATTTCCATGTTTCATGGTGTAATACCATACAAAAAAAAATTGTCAAAATTTAATTATAATACAAATTATTAAAAATTTAGTCCAATTCCTTGACTTGTGGATATGAGTAATAAACGTCCTTTACATTGTGACACTTTTTACCTTTCCTTAAGTCATTTAAACATTAAAAACTATATATTGATCATGGCAATTGCATTTAATTTATATATTTCTATTTTTTTCATTAAGTTTTTATCATTCCTTCTCACTTCCTTTAGATTATTCATATATTTCTGTTTTTTAATTAAATTGCTATAATTTCTTCTCACCTCTTTTGTATATTTATACACGCATATATTTATACTCATGTGTATTATGACAGAATACTTAAAATATTTTATTTGTGTTTGATATGTTGAATATATCTATATATTTAATTATTCTCATATGTTATTATTTATGATTTTTTAAAGATCGTGAGATGCAGTCTGGTGTGATGTTGGTTAGAAAAACATTTTCTTTATCTTGCCAACTTTTCAATCTTTATTGACACCATGTTCAAGGGCTGGGATTATGAACATTGTTTCAATTATACAAATGCATATAAGATATTAATATGAATTTGTACATACAGTACAAAATAAAGAACTTTTAGGTTTAATCAAAGTATTTGTATTTACTCAAAGTGTGTGTTTTCTGTGTAGTCGTGTTGATAGTGTTTTTGTTTTTAGTTTATATTTGTTCGATTTTAAAGGAGTGGGGAAGAAGGTAGGGATAAAAAATTTTCTATGAGAAGTCTGTCTAAAAGGGATTGATTATTATTTATGATTCAATTATTCATTATTACTTATGTACAGTTTAAACTCTTATAGAACATGTAACTGGGTATATTACATACAAATAAATATAAAATACTTTTTAAAGTCCCTCTCTCCCAGATTTACATTTCCCCAAAGTTACTGCACTTCAAGTACTGGAAAAGAAAACCTTTTGGTTCAAAAAGTGGATATTACTATCCCAAATACATTCTTGTAATTCCATAATACTTTAGGATATCTTCCTTTATGGGGTGCTAAAAAAGTTTTATTTTGCTTCCCAATATGACTAGCTTTCTCCAAGCTCTCTTTCTCTGGTGTGGTCACAATTGGTGACTTTGGTATACTATCATTCAAAGGGTAAGTTCAAAATACGGGTCCTTTGCACAAGAATCTGCCGTTTCATTTCCTACTACATTCATGAATATTTGGAAGAATGTATATTTCTTCTTTTATAATTTGGTTATAGTTTGTGACAATTTCGATAATCTTTGAGTTTTGCCAGTTTTATTGGATATTTCTCTAAATTATTGATGTTTTGTATGATGCTTGTTCTGAGGCATGTACTATTGTGCCCGTTCACCATATTACTGCTTTAGTAATAAATAGCCAGGAGTTCAGCCGATTATTACTAAGTTCTTCTGCAAACCTGAAGCCCACAAATTGGGTTCGTCAGGTGACTGGAGGTGTGAATAAATGGTTACAGACAAGGAAATTGTTCCATTCTTTGGTTATTCTGGCTGAATGTTTTGGGTCGAAATGCTTCGAACAACTAAGCCTTTTGGATCCCAAACTTCTATATGCTTTTTAAGCATTTATGGCACAGTAAGTCCACATACCTTTTAGCATTGAGAGGACCTTTACTCCACAGACTCGCACTCATACAACCTCACACCATTACATTGCCTCGTCCATGCTTTACAGTGTTATATTTGTAACATTTAATTCAAGGTTTGGTTTCACACAAATACGCACCCACCAGGACCAAAAATATTTAACTTGCTTTCGTATGAGGAAATTTTTTCCGGAAGTCCAGGTCCGTGTCCTCGAGCTAAATTAAGCCCTTTTGTACTGTTTTTTTTACTTCAGGGAGGCAATTTATGGATAGTTTGCAGAGGAAAATGTGTCCCAAAATATGAACCAAGGCCTTTTGCTAGTTCATGTGCACTTATTTAATTTTGAAGTCTGCCTAACCAATTTATGCACTTGCTTCTTTCGTCGAAACTTTCCATGGTCTTCCGATCATTTTTCACTATCTACACAACAAGCCTGCCCTGACTTTTTTAATAATCCTGTAATTATTAGCCCTGTAGTTATTATTTTTGATCACATAACAGACTTTGTTTGGCTCTTGTCTTATTATAACACCTTCAGTTCTATTTAACATTAAATTCTTATTAACTGCTACTTTTAAGTTTTGTTCTTCTGTGTGTTCTGTGATTATATCTTTAGTTTCTAATGAATTCCAATATGTACATACCAATACTTCTTTATAACACTTTTACTTCTCTCTCTCTTCTGTTTCAAATATCACTTATGCAGATGATTTTCACTTTTACATGCAGTGTAAACCAGCTGAGTTTCAGGCTTTTATTAATGATTAAATAAGCTTTTATTAGCATTCATCAACATTTCTATTTACATAGGTGGATTAAGTGTTACATCACGTAACACCAAGAAGACAATGCGTTGCATCAATGCAACTGGCTTATTAAAAAAAAAATTTGTGCCATGAAAGAAAAAAAAAGGCAAATTTTAAGATACTGAAGCTTGTTACTATCGGTCAATTTATGCGGAACCAATTTGCTCAGCTTCCACTTCTTCCCAAGTCTGTAAGCTAGAGCAAACAGTTTTATTACTTACGTTGAACATTTTTATGATCTTCTGACGTGTGTGACTTGAACGAAGTTCAATAGGTACGTGTGGAGTTTAGTGACAGTTAGTTGATGATTATTTGGGGATTGTGACATGCGGTCTGGTGTGATGTAGGCTTAGAAAAACATTTTCTTTATTATGCCAACGTTTTGATCTTTATTGAGATCATCTTCAAGGCCTAGGGTTTATAAACATTGTTTAAATTATACAAAAACATGTAGGATGTGAAAAAAATGAATTTATGTAATGCTAGAAATTTTAGACTCAATCAAAGTATTTGTACTCACTCAAAGTGTTTGTTTTCTGTGTAAATGTGTCATTATTGGGTGTCGTGTTGAGAGTGCTAGTGAGATATTAATGTTTTATTTCTATATACGTTGGATTTTTAAGGGGTGGAGAAGGAAGTAGGGATAGAAAAACATTTTTATATGAGTCGGCTTCTTTGAGGTGAAAGGAGCCGACAATAGGAAAAAATGACGGTTAATGCGTTGACACGGCGCTCATCAATCGAAGGTAAAGGTCCGGGGTTCAAATCCAGCGGCCCTGCATTCGAGCCCGACATACTTACAAATGAGCTTTTTTTCAAAAACACTGGCACCCCGAGGGTTGATATAACCTCTGCTGTTGCGAACCCTCGTAAAAAAGAAAGAAAGAAATAGGAAAAAATGGGTAGTGGTTCAGCCTGATTATTCTTTCAGTATTGAATAGACGACGATAATTAGGGAAAGGAAAGCAAAATTGTTGAAGAATTAGACTATGTAAAAATATTTGATATGAGGAATGTAATGATTGTTTTATATGTTTTGTGTGATGTGATGATATATGTATGTTATTGATACTGAATTTGATTAATGATATTAGCATAGCTGCTACTGAGTTTACATGTGTCCGTCCTGTAATTTTAAATTCAGTCGCAGCTACGCTAATATCTTTAATCAAATTCAATATCAATAATATACACACACATCACACAAAACATATAAAACAATCATTACATTCCTCACATCAAACATTTCTATATAGTCTAATTCTTCAACAATTTTGCTTTCCTTTCCCCAATTAAATGCATGCTGTAAATTATAAAATTAGTACCAATTTAGAACTAAATTGTACTGTAAGCAATGCAATTGCCCCAGAAGGCACTGCATGATACATTTGACCGCTTGCTTGCACATTTCAATTTATTACCTACTGCCTAAATTAAAAGAAGTCTTATCTGTATAAAGATACATAAATAAATTTTACAACTACAATAAAAAAAGACCATGATAATGGAAATAAAATGTTATTTTTTATTAACCAACCTCTATTTTTTTTTAAATAATATAAATAACAACATGCCAATACAATTGCAATTACAAAGGAAAAAACTTGTTGACATATGTTTTTAACCATTGAGCACATTATATACAAGTATAAAAATGCTCCCGAGAACTTAATTGCTTATTGCAGAGCTACATTGAATATAATTCAAATATAGTGGCACAATATCCTAAACAGTCTATGAGCCTCATGGAAAACTAGTTTTTTTGTTTGTTTTTTAATTAAACTTATTATATCTAAAACTTGTTATATGTATATACAAAATATCTAAATAGATAATTTCTTTTGTGTTTAGAAAAAATACTGTTACTAAATGGAGAGTTTACGCTTAATTAATTGTAACAGTATAAAATTATTAAACAAAAGGATAGGACTGTAAATATGTTGCAATGTCATGTGTGATTGATCAACAAAGCTTTTGTCAGTCTGAATCAACTGTATTATCAAGAACATGTTTGATTAAAAGCAATATTAGAATTTTTTTTAAACAGAAAACAAAAAGAGGGTCTCTATTATTAAACAGTATTAGGTAATGAAGGTTCTTGAATTTTAGTAATAAATATCTCACAGAAATACAAAGAGAACAGGTAAAACCTCAGAAAATATGTCAATTTACAAAAGATTTCGTTCTAAATTTAATATGAAGGGCAACAAAGACTCCTTAGAGAATGAATACAACTCAAGATTTTACTTTCTTCTCCAAAATGCAACGCATAAATTTGTTCCTATCATAGTCATGGACATTAATATTTATTGAACAAACAAAAATAACAATAAAAAAATTAAAATAAAATAATAAAAAAAGATTAAAATTATCACAACTTGTACTAACAAGCATTTTAAAAAGGGTTATTTCCATTACTCTGTATACTTGGCCATTTATATGTATTAGATGTTAATAATATAATATATATACATTTTATGTTGTATTTATATTATATATCTATTGTATAATATATATAATACAATGGATATATATTATATAATAACTGAAAAATGTGTTTACCAAAGGTATAACCCCATGATTTTGAACAGTAAAACATTTATTAAAACTATTTTTTGTTTTTAACCAATCTTTATAGAGTGAGAGTACCATGTTGAGTTTTTGTTGACTACAAGAAATAAATGTCATTTCAATGCAATCATAAAACAATCATCATGTTAAATTAATAACAATAAGTAAGATTGGATTAGTTAATCTGGCGATTAACAAGAATGAGCAAACAGTTGGCTGGATTTGTAATTTATTGAAAACAACTTAGTGCCAACATACTGTAAATTTTTTAAAAACAAATAATATCAAAGATAAATAAATTTTATTTGCAATTTTATTCATTTTTCTTTAGCTGACAGTATTTTTTTAGTTACAATTAATTAATTTGAAAATAAAATAGAAGTTTTTTATTTGTAACATCCTAACATAACGGAAACGTATAACTTTTTACCCATTTATTTATTTTTTAATGAATTGAAAATCTCTAACAATATAGTGCAAGATGCACAACAAAATTATACATTCCTGACTTCTACATTACTATCACGCAGTAGATATTTCCACTCTACATAAGTAGAAATATCTTCACTGATTATTCAGTCACAACTTTTTAACAGCGAAACATACCTAAAAATAGTTTGTTTGTACATTACTTAACAATTCTATACATGTGAAACTGAATGTGTAGCCTGCACAACAGGTGGAAAAACCAACAGACAGTCGGGGTAATGCATGCCTTAACAGATCAAACTAAAATTTAAAAATATGTAAAGTAGATAAGCTAACATGTTAACTAACATGCAATTAAAGAAAGAAAAGAAGAAAAAAAAAACAATAAAATTCCTTAATTTTATAGTTCAATTTTGTTCAGAAATCATTATAATGTTACAAATTTAAATTTTTCAGAAGTGAAGAATGAATTATATAAATACTATCAACATATTTATAAATGCAATGAAAATTACATCATTAAATAATGGTAAATTATTACACAACAAATTATATCATTTAATGCCACAACCATTGACAATTCATAAACACACAGCTATTTACTAATTGTGTTAAATATGAATTAATAAATTTCAACAGATTTTAATTATTTGACAGAATCCATATATGTATTTAGCGGTTACAATTGGCCGTATTAACTATTTTAAGCAATTATACTTTCAATCTAAGGTCATGGGTTTTCATCCCGCTAGTGACACTTGCTTTTTCACCTCAACCAAGAGCTTAGATTGAAAGTTTAATTGATTAAAATTTGCCAGAATATTTATACTGCTAAAATACTTATACTTTAATTAAACCTAATACAACTTAAAAACATGCTACTTGAATAAGCTTCATGTGTATCGTAAACTTTGCAAAAATAAAACCTTAGAATATTAAAATTTTCTGAAATTTCAAATGATTTCTGAAATAGTGTGTTCATTAAGGCAGTGGTAAAAAAATAAGTAGACTACGCTTACCGACATTGCATTAAAATAGAATAAATATCACTATCATTTATAGTGCAGAAATTTTTCAGCAATAATCAAACGACATTATTTCCATGCTGAATTTTTGTCTTGGTGTCTATTTTATTTTCACTGTTGGATAATGTTTGCATTTTAGCAATACATTATTTCATGATATGTCTCAATTTTATTACAAATATAACAGAATTTATAAGACAATTTCCACAATGGTGATAGTTTCCTTTTATCAGTGGCAATGTTTAGTATGACAATTGAAGAAACAATTTTAAAGATTGAAGACATTAAGTACGGTTGTGAGAATAAATGTAAAAGACCTTTAGTCTTCTCTGTTAATTTCCCCACTGTGTAAAACAAATTGATTAAAAAAAAAAAAAAAAAAAAAAATCAATATTAACAATCCACTAAAATGAGATTTTCTTCAGGGTAGTATAGATGTTTGGGTATATTTGTTGTCAGTTTTATATATAAAGTTATATACTATGACAGTTCGTCTGTCTTTTTCATGTTAGATTAAAAGGGTAACTTGAAAGGCACAGTATTGCTCCTGGTCTCCTTTCACTGGTGGTCGGACCACTGTAAATCAATGCCTGATACCACTATGAGACACAATTTTCGGAGTATCCTTCATAGAATCAAATTAAATTTTACAAAATAATGGTATTTATCATTGTTATTTATTTTAATAATTCTATTCAGAACACTGATAATATATGGCAAACCCATTAAGGCACAACCATACTTAAATCTCCTCTTTAAATGTATATTTTTAATATAAACAAACCTCTTTATTAATTTTGGACTATTTCTTAGGACTCATCAAACTTTGTTTTTTAATTATTTTGTCCATACAATTTAACTATCAGCACACAATTATAACTATATTATTAACATAGTAAGCTTAACAAGGAATTTGCATATACCATTGGGACAACATTGGGATGCTCCTGAAAAAAGAAAAAAAGGAAAACATGAATAGTATATAAATAATGTGTCTTTCTTAGTGACCTGTTGTTTCATAATTTGTTGAAGTTGTGTGTCTTGACCGCTCCTCACGACCTCAACAAATTATAAAAATAATTTTGTAATAAATTTAATATTGTCACATTAACATATTTATAACAACAACAAATTACAAAATGTAGCTTTTATCCATACTGTATCTTTGTTTCATCAGAAAATACCTTCAAAAATTTTGTTATGTAGGCTGTTAAAAATATGCAAGGGTTGTCAATATTACATTATTTTCTTTTATCAACATGTACAAAAATTTTTGTCTCTTTTTTACCATCTCTTATTTTTTACTAAATATAATGTTTTTATAATAAATAAATAGCACTTTTTACAAATTAATATCATAGATAAAATCAGACTTGAGTAGTATTAATTTGTAAAAACTGCTATTTATTTAAAAAAAAAAAAAAAAAAAAAAAACATTATATTTAGTAAAAAATAAGAGATGGTAAAAAAGAGACAAAAAGTTTTGTACACGTTGATGAAAGAAGTTTAAATATTGAATGAGAATCTAGCCCTGAGGAAGGTGAAAAAAAGCACCGAAAGCTTGGCTTAGTTTCAACACACAACATTCAATGGACCAGATCCTCGATTCTACCAAATTTCAATAGTAGCTGGTTGATCACTTTTACATCATTACTGATTTATGTAAGTTCAACTCTGAACAAGCTTGAACATACATACAAGCGTATACAGAGTTGAGTCCATCACTTCTTGCAATCCACTAGCAAAATCTACCTTTTGTAATTTACAATGAATTACTGGCAGGCTTCGAGAATCACCAACCCCTGATGTTGGAAGTCCACGGTCAGACCTCTATCTTATATATCCAGCCAGTGAGGTTGAGCTCCAGGTGCTGTTAACAGTTAGGTCAATCAGCACCCAACATAATCAGTTCCTAAATCCAAACCCACTTTTATTCACTCTTAAATACGTTCTTTCAGACCATTCACTTGGTGTGGACTTGTTATTCCTCCATTACCTTCCACACGTCATATAACCAATCTAATTGAGGGTTGATGGGATGGGGTACTTAGTATTCTGCCATCGACCCTCTTACACTACACATTCGTATATATTCATTTTCAATTCACACTAGTTGACACAACACAGTACATCTTCAATAAAACAACCGTTTCCCCCAATATTCAGAACAGTGCTCCTCCAGTTCATCGTATTTCTCCAACAAAAGCACAATGAAAGGGCAGTAACAATGTAGATGGAGGCAGGTGATTTTTGTTATTAATACATTCTGGAATGACGAAATGTACCCTTCCCCCAGAATGACACACCTCCTCTAGAAAATCCCTGCTTTTCAAAACTTGTTTTAGGGTTTTTTTTCTTTCATTTTTTAAAGTGTTAGTAGTAGCAATATAAAATTAAGACAATGTTTTCATAATACATGGGTAGGCCACACATAAATAATGAGTAGGGGTTTGCCTAATCTGACCTTCCCTATATAGAGACATTGTTCCAGAACAATGCATCCAAAAATCTAAAAGAAGCAAATTTTTACTTCCTATGTAGGATTACAAATGTCCCGTAATTGAAATTTTGCTTACAAAACTGATAGTCAATTATTTGCCCATGGTACCGAAAGAAAAATTTCACAATTTCCTAAAATAACAGGATAGTCTGGATATAGCTAATAAAGTACGATTCAGCTTGGTGCAAATTTTGGTCGTGTTATCCAGGTGATTTAGATCAAAACTTTTTGGCTTATGAGAAACAACAAAAAATAAGAGAGTATCAATAACTGGGGCATGAAACAATTCCTTAGGGAGTGGAAATTATCCCCCGGACACAGGCAATCGAAAGAGTTTGTTAAGGCGATCAAACCAGCAGAATCGAAATGGCTATTCTCTATCTCAAGGAAGGGAATTAGGAGGCTGATAGGTATCCTGACGGGCCATTGCCCTTTGAGAAGACACTTCTTCGTAATGGGTATTTTACCAGACCCCTTCTGCCGTTTTTGGAAATAAAAGAAGAAACGGCAAGGCACTAGCTCGCAGAGTGTAATAGGTATGCTAGGTCTAGATTTGAAATCTTTGAAGGAGAGGACATCACCAAATCACTCCCCCAGATAAATTGGTCCAAGATATAAAAAATCCAAATCTCCAACAAGTGAGCCGACCAAGTCCCGGACCTTTTAGGGACGGGGTACGAGTCTACCCAGGCATTTAACCCCTCGGGTCTTGGTCGCCCACCCTGCATAATATATATACANATCATATAAACAACAAAAAATAAAAATTATATAAATGATGGTTACGATCAGGATTTCGAGTATTAAACAATCATCGTCAGGTTGAAACAATGAACGTTTATTATTTCTACTCTAAAAATTTATGTGACGGGGTTTTTACCAAAAATCCTCCAATAAAAAATAAAAAAAATAAAATAACGGGGAGACAAAGGTAGATAAAAAGTAGTATCATGTTAGTAGTAGTATTAAGTATTATCTCACTAATCTCTACACAGTAGTATTAAGCTGATGTTCTGTTTTCTGTTAGTTTTTAATTGTAACTCGACATTAGTTATTATAAAATATTATTTTAAAATTGTGTCATGTTTCGATATTGTAAATTAGATTTTGAACAATGTTTATGAAATTAATGACACATTTGCCGAGTGTTTGATGCAAGTGTAGATAATAATACACAGATTTAAGATATTCACAACAAACATTAATTCTTATTGGAATACTTACGACAGCATCATAAGTAAATATCTTTGGCTCCATCGTTTTTCCTGTTAGTGAGATAAATGCTCCTAAATTGCCCATAGTATCACTGAAACACAATTTTAGAACAGTGAATTTTTTAATCCTGAGGTGGTCGTTATATCTTTGTTTTTATTATGAGTTAATTGTGTGTTTTATTTATAAATGTTTTTGTTAATAGTAAGTTCATAATGTATTTTAGTGATATTAGGTCGTTACCAATCATTTTGGTCGGCCTATCTTTACTGGATTTCAGATTTGTTTTGGCATTTTGCCATCTTCAGTGTGTCTGTGAATACATTTTAATGTTGCCATTTTGCGCTTTTGTAAGTGGTTTATTACTTTGTAACAAAATAAAAAATAGTTACTTTGCTTAGATGTTAAACACATTGTCTACCTATAGCAAAGCAATATCATAGAAAATTGATTATTAATAAAGCCGAATAAATTATTTTTTACCTAAAGGTACAACGAACTGTTCTAAACATACCAGTAGTTTGGAGCTGAGAAAACAGTAATGCATTTTCCGTCATGAGCAATTTCATACCCGTTTGTCTTTACCTCATGACTTCGAATAATATAATCTAGATTATTTTGTTTTATAAAGCTGCTGGTAACATCAGGACCAAATTGGACCCCGACTCCTCTTTTACTCAGTGCTCGTCCATTTGCAGGTTGAGGATCAGACCATAACAAATCACACATAAGACCTAGAACGAATAATTCACAAAGGTTGTAATTTCTGAGTTATTTATTTATTTTTAGCAATTTTACTGTTATCTATTTATCATTTTTTATTCTACCTTCATCTGGTGGTTGCCGATTTCTATCAATGTTTTTTATGTCATCCAGGGTTACACCATCTTTTGCAAATAGTCCACCATGCATAACCTATAAAATATAATTCAAACATAATTATAGGATTATTTATTCAGTACTACTAAAGTAGAATTTCTGCTTTTCAATTTTTTTCTTTGCTTGGATGTTTTAAATAGGAGCCGTTTTTTTAGTTGTTTCAAATTTCAACCGCTGTGCTGAAAGACCATTTTCTAAAAGAATGAAAGGAGTCAATATCAAGAGCATAATTGTCCATCTCTTAAGGTCCTATTGACTTTTTGGTGGGATATTCAAGGAATAACATTGGCAACTAGGAATAACTTATGCAAACAAACCCTTACGGCAGAGGTATACTGTGCTCAACTAGGTCATCTCCGGACAGCGTTGAAGGGAAAACGTCCAGCCCTGGTGAATAGATGTCGTGTTTCACTGTAACACCGAATGTCACCAGCTGCACTCACTCAGAGTAAAATCGCCGAGTTAAGCTGGGAACAATTCCCCACCCCCATGGAGAATGCTCTCCAGATTTTGCCCCTTCCGATTTTTAATTGTACCTCTCCCTAGACAACATAAGTTGTAAGACTTTTACAGTAAGGGGATATTTTCTGCTATTACTATTACCATAACCTTAGGAATATGTTCTAGCAAATGAAGGACATCATGTTTTGGGTTAAAAATAAAATACATTTATATTTTGAATTAGACTTTTCATCCTGAAAAGAGAAAAACTTATGCACACACTTAATATTTACATTTGTGGTGTGAGCTGGTCCCCGTCTTAGAATAAGTAGAAATAGTTGTTAAAGTAAGTTAAAGATAGTTTTAAGGAAAGACACACATATGTTGGAAATAAGGCTGTAAGTATTAATATTAATTTATAGTAAGGAAACTCGAAACAATTACTGTGAGTTATTGCGTAGCCAACCCTTGTGAGAAGGAACTGGCCATCTGGCCCAGCAGTTTTTGCTTTTCCTTTCCTATCCTGGTTGGGAAATTAGTATAAAAGGGGATGATTTGGAAAGCAAAGTAAATCGACCCAAGAACTCAGCCAACCCGAGTAGCCAGTCCAAAGCAAGGAAGTTCGAGCCATTCAGTTGAGAAGTTGAATACAGTTGATGCATGAAGCTGCAGGAAGATCATCAGGCTGGATGATGTGGAAGCTGGTATTGAAAAGCATCATTTAGGCTAAGTCTTATAAGCTCATCTCAGAGCTGGTTATGACTGTCTTGCTGTTATTATTTGACTTGCTTTGATTGTTGTTTTTACTTTTCTTAAGATGGGCTAGTGTTAGAATACAATAAATTTTTATGAATATATTTCTAGTTTATTGTATTTTTGGAATCCTACCTTACCCTACACAAAAGTAGTTAAGCATCGTTTAGAGATAAGCACACAGAGTGTTGGCGCCCACTTACGGTGGCTTACACACATCAAATACTACTGTGTGACGATAAGAAACAAAAATACAATAAAACTGGTCTCTCACTCTCACTTGCATTGAAAATTATTTACAATGCTTAACAAAACTGGCATATACTGTTAAAAATATTAAATTTAATAAAATATGGTGTCTGTTACATCCTTACCAAAACTCTATTATTGAGACAGTGGGCTAGCGGAAGCCAGTTATATACCTCTGTGAAAACTTCTACCATTTGAGATGAATACTTGGCTCTCACTTCACCTTCAAATCCATATATTTGGTTCATAGTTTGGCTTTCATGGTTACCTAAGAAAGAATAAATGTTGAACAACTAATAGTAAATTTGAATGTTACATTCATGTATATTGTTCAGAAATGAATCGACTAATGCTTGCAAGTTGTAGATGATCAAATTTACAGCTTGTGCTAAAGAAATCTACATTTACAAATCTACTGGATGAAGAACAATAAGCTGAAATATTATGCTGCTTTGCTTGATAACTTACCTCTAGACATAAAAAATTTATCTGGGTATAACAACTTAAAGCTGAAAAGCGTAAATATACACTCCACAGAGAATGAACCTCTATCAACAAAATCACCATTAAATAACTACTCACTTTAAGGAAATTTATATTCTGAAACACGTGTAAACTAATAACTAATGCATTTCAATTATTTTATTTTGTTATTGTTTTTGTAATAATTTAGACTTAAAATTTAAAAATATTAATTTAAATGTTATAAACAGAACTAATGGCAATAAAATTAAACAACTATACAGTTGATTGAACTCATAGTTAGATCATAACTGATAAAATGTTTTAATTGATTGTAGTAATCGGGGGATCGCAGTAGCCACGTGGTCAGCGAGATAGACTCTCGGCTCGTAGACCCCATGGTCGAGGGTTTGATTCCACTGTCACCCCAGCCTTTTTTTCAAGAAACCCGTCTCCCAATAACAATAATAATAATAATAATAGTTATAATAATACCAAAGTAATATTCGGAAATGAATCAACTACACTAGTGGACTTGATATACTAATATACTACAATTACAACACACTTTTATAGCAAATTTTAGTTTTATGCACAGATAAAATTTTATAAATTCTAAGCATCTGTTTAAAATCATTAAAAAGGATACATATGGATTTGTCTCAGATGGATATCCGTTAATTTTAAATATATTTAATAGGTCATAAAACTGACCGTGAATATCACCACAAACAGTAAACTTTTCGTCATCTCCAATAGATATGTTTATCAAAGATGGTTGTGTCATAAACAAGTTTTTAACATCTTGGAGTATCTAAAATAAAGTAAAAAATTAAATTATATTGTTATAATTTTAAATAATTATTACATTTATACCAAATAGATGGTATAAACTTTTGCCTTAAAAACTGGTTTTTGAAACGTTTACCAAGAGAGAAATGAGGTAGGAAAAGTTACTGTTTACGCACAGAACAACGAAACAAATTCAATTTTTTCCATGACCGAGCTTGAATGTCAAAATGCTCATATTTCAAATCAACTTTCCCCATTGAAATTAATTGAAATGAGATTAATTTGTACCAGCCCTCAACAAAACACTCTAATTTTTTATAATGTATTTATAATTAACAAATATTGTTTACAAATAAAATAAAACCAAATACATACAAACATATGTATATGTAAAGCAGAATCTAAAGAAATAAACAGATTTGGCAGAACCAATTAGCTTCTACATAGTACAAATTAATGTTTCAATCAGTTCACTTTTGCATAACTTAATTATGTGAGTTAATAACAAATTATACACACTATCAACTTATTTTAATGGATCTAAAGGTACAGCTCTATTAAGGTATTCAAGACACATGCAATTATAGAAAGCTGCTCATCAAGTACTGTTCATCCTTTAGTGAAACTTCCCACATGTTTTTAAATATTATTTTCCTCCTTTTACACTTACAATCCCCGGTCCCTTGTTTTTGTTTCCTTTTATTATTATTATTATTATTTATTTTCAAAAAAGCCAGTTTTTTACAAGAAAAAGGTCGTTATTGCCGTTGCAATATTTGCAAATTGGGTTGTCCAGAAAATAATGCAGGTTTTTGGTTATAAAATAAAAACAATTAAATAAATGATTTTAAACATTTTTATTAATTAAAATACCCTGCATCACTTTCTACACATTTCTCCCATGACATCATCTCTATACCCTCTAAATATAATTTTGAGTCTTTACTATTAATAAATTCTGTAAACACATTTTCTAATGGCTTTTGAGAAATAAATTTTATTATGTTGTAACATGTTGTCCAGGTGTCTGAAAAATGGTAATCAGTAAGAGAGAAGTCTGGAGCATAGGGAGGAATTGATTGTTTAGCCAGGATTCAAGAAGCTCTAGTAAATCAGCCCAAATGAAGCCCACCAATGAGTTGCCATCACCTTTTTTCAATGAGTTAGGGGCTTTGGAAAATGTGGTGCTGCTTCTCCTTTGTCGAGCCACTGTCCAGAACAACCGCGGTTATTGAAGAGAATCCACTTTCCATCACAAGTAACAAAGGTTTTGGCAAAGAATTGTTGCGTAAACTTCATAACGATGATTTATTTGGCAGTTGTTTAATGCATGAGGAACCGAACTTTCAAGTTTTTTCACCTTACCAGTGGCCTTAACATGGTCAGCAACGGTCGATTTACTAACTGAAAGATTCTCTGCAAGCTCTCGAACAGTTGTTCTGGCATCTTCTTTGACCAAAGCTCACAGAACATCATCATCTAGGGAAGAAATCCTTCCACGACCGTCTTTGTCTTCAAAGCTAATCTTCATCTCGAAAATTTTTTAAACCATCTATGAATGTGCTCTCACACACTTACATCACCCCAGACTTAATTAATGTTTCTGACCATTTGGGCACCAATCGGACCAAGTTTAAATTCATTAAATGAAATTACGCGCAAATCACATGTTGACATATTGGTAAAGACTGAATTATTCCCAAGTAATGAAATGCTACTGAGGTAAATAAACATTTGTTTGGAAGAGGTAAAAAGTGTTGACATTTGTACAAAAGAATAATTCATCAAATGTAAACAGTTTATTATATAGAAGGGTAATTGAAAAAAAAAATTNAAAAAAAAAAAAAAAAAAAAAAAAAAAAAAAATACTGCATTATTTTCCAGACAACTGAATACTATATTTTCTATTATGTAACTTTTGTGTATGTATATAATTAATCATACAACTGCATTACTAAAACCCTCCCATAGACAGTACCCAAACCCTTTAAGAACGGCCCCCTGTATAACAGACAAAACCACTTCTTATCTTGGGAAATTTTTCATAACGTTAGCACAAACAGTAATACTAAATTGATAGTGCGCAGATTTAACAGAATACTTTCTGAATAGCGTGCTTGTTAACAAGTGTTGGTAAAGTCAAAAAAGTATTTTTTTGTTGCAGATACTGTCCAATTAAAAAAATAATAATAATAATGTATATGTAGAAATATAACAAAATTAATCCATTTATGTTTGGTGGTCTAATTGACCATATTAATTATTTCAATTATTTTTTCTATTTATGTAAGGTCTTGGTTGAGATGAAAAAATAATAATTAATTGCAATAATTAATATGGTCAATTAGACCACTAAACATAAATTGATTAATATATAAGTAAAGAAGTTCTTAAAGAAGTATAGTAAGTAAAGAACTTCACTAACAGCTCCCTGTGGCCACTTCATAAGTTGCTGAGAATCGAATCCTGATTACACGACATTTGAAAAATGGTCAAAAGAAGGAAAATTCGAAAGGTTGTAGGTTGAGATGAGGAGATGAGGTTCCTATCCCGCTCGTAACACTAGCTTTTTCATCTCAACCAAGACCTTACATAAAAAGGATAATTAATTGATATAATAAAATTGTTTATTTTATAGTTAACATTTTTCAATTCGTACAAGTTTTCATGAATCCTTCCTCCTATGAATGTATGTAAATTTGTTTCTAACATTAAACTATTTAACAGTTTCATTTTGACCAATGAAAAAAATTTAAAAAATAAATAAATAAAAAATAAAATAAATGTTTTATTAACTACAAAAAGGAATAACAATTAATTAGATATGCAGCAACCTTATACATCTTCCCTTCAATAAAACAATTGTGTAAAACATATCCTTTGGTTCAATTGCCTAAATACAATTTAAAAGCTAAAATTCCAAGAGACAGATTTGGTTATAACGAGTATGTGTTGTATATGGTTACTAAACTGTACTGTAATATTTTAGTTTTACCTAAAATTAATAAGCTAAGCTAAAAGATTTTTTTTCTTAGGACTTTTTATCACTTTTCGTCCTCAATTTTGGTTTTAAACACCCCAAATTGCCCAGTAATTAATGATTACTCTGTATGTTGGAGCTGCAACTATCAGGTCCTCAGTATTGTCAGCAATCAAAAGAAAAAAAAATCCATAACTGCCTTTGTTTAATAACAAGCTTGCTAGGCACGACTATAACCTGAACTACTACAAAATCCCCCAGAAACTTTGCGTTAGCTGCAAGGAAAGGATGAAAATCCTTCATGCAAAGTCTTCAAATAGTGTCAACATTATTTGAAACATGTTAAATATGATGGTGACTTTGAAATAGAGGAAACTTTATGCAAAATTTCGCTAATATCTCGCAATTTGTTACATATCATCAGTGTTAAGGGGTCAAGATTAACATTTAGACAGGAGGTGGGATACTGTTCATAAAAGTTGAGCGACTGGCTAATTGAGAGTAAAATTAAAAATCCTTTGTTTTTAATTCATGTCGCTGTTTAAAACCATTTTTAATTCTGATATAATTAGTATTCAATCTCATGAGTTGTTAATTTGACATTTCACAAAGGATAACATACAAATAAACTAAGATGTAATTTACAATATGAATAAGGGCATTACTGTGTGATGTACAGCCTATTTACATTGTGATATGAAGTTTATCTAATTAATTTTATAATAAAATAAATGATCAAGGATGATATAAAAGCACCTATTAATATAAAATTATAATACTGAAGTGTGTGTTGTTTAGTGACCGTTAGGTAATGATTATTTAGAGATAGTAAGATGCAGTGTGGTGTGATGTAGGTTTGGAAAAACATTTTCTTTATTGTGTCGTTTTGATTTTTATTGAAATCAACTTCAAGGCCTGGGATATGTACACACACACGCACACACGCACACACACACACACACACACACACACACACACACACGTGCGCGCGCATGCACACCAGAGATTTCAGCACTTTAAGTAAATGTTCATATTTGTTACTTGAAGGAACTTAGTGTTTTTCTTGTATTTCAAATTGTCCTTATCCCTGATTTTTTAATAAAAAATTATATGGGATCAAAATAGTTTTGTCTCCTATTAATTATATACATTGAGACAATAAAAATAAATTTTTACATTACCTTATAAGCAAATTTTCTGTGGAGTTTTCCTTGGTTTCTGTATATCTCAATCAATTCCATGACAAATTCTTTTGTGACTTTTCCATCTTGTAGTTGTGGCCCTTTATATTCTTCTTCGATTGCTGCATTAAAAAAAAATAAAAAATAAATATATAAAGGAACAGAATCATAATTAAGCAATCTCACCATTTTGAGAACATTATTTTTCAAATATTTTTGTCTAAAAGTTTATTATATTCAAGTTCAATTCAATTGGAAACAGTCTTTTACATTTTTGTAAAGGATAGCTTTTATTTATTTACTTTTTAATTTCATATGTGAAGATTAGGTTTGTTCCAACACACCTTGAAAAATGGCAAAAAGGAGGGAAAATTCAAAAGGTGGGGTTGAGGTGGGAAGTTAGTGTCCGAGTGGATCGAGGTCACGATAGCTCAAGTGGTAGAGCAGCGGCGTATCTAGCCGAAGATCGTGGGTTCGAATCCCACTCGTGCCATTGACTTTTTTATCTCAACTAAAAACCTTAATTAATTGTAATATATTAATTGGTCAAGCGGACCACGAAATTACTGAATTTTTACTATTATTTGACTTTATTAGGTTATTTTATTAACATAAATGAACCGATAAACTAAAATTCCCTTGAAATAATCAGATTCTTATGTGAGGCCCCATTTCCAAAACTTCTGAGTGCATTTTATTTTGCATGAAAAATTAATTTTCTTACGTAGACATATTGTGGAAGAAATAGGGGCCTCATTTGAAACACAAAAATAGTCATTGTTAGTTCTCTTTCTAATTATATGATTTTTTATGTGAGTGAAATTTTTTCTTTTCAAAATGAGAAATATTAGGCAACAAAAGCCTATATTAAAAAGAAATTATTCAATTATTAATCGGGTGATGTCTGTGACATTAATCCTATTTTACTATATTTAGAGCAAATTAATTGCATACTTGAGGGTTTAGTGCATTTTATGCACGATACTTGAGAATTTTTATTGCATATAAATAAAGTAGTAAAAACTTTCCTATTTGATGAAAGCGGGAACATATCTGCACATGTCTCTGATAGCCAGACCATGGACTGTTTTGACAGTCCAAAACCGCCGACAACTTGGCCTTTAACTGTGTTGCATGAGTATGCCTTATAAAGTTTATGTTCAAATTATTGAACTATGTAATTAATTGATGTAGAAAGTGATAAAAGTGATTTTAAGTTGATAATGTTAAAATGTCAATAATGGTGTTCTTTTTATTTTTTAAAACTTTATTTTCTGTTTTTCCATTATTGATCATTTTTAGACTTATATAGGATTTGTAATACTCACAATAGAATTAAACAATAATTGACATCTGCCTGTGTTTCAACATTACTTACTCATTTTGTCAAAGTCAATGGAGTCTACTGCTGACTTTGTATAGCTTTCAACAGCAATCGCTTTTTCAAATGCAAGCTTCTTCACTAATTTGTAACACTCATTAAACTTCATTACTGCATCCTTGTCATTAGGTCTAGCTTTCATCACCTTCAAAAACAACTTATTAATAATAACGACCAAGAGGAAACAAATTTACAAAGTCCTTACTGTTTCATAATCCTTGAGGGCAAGTTTGAATTTACCAAGTGACATGTATGCTGCAGCTCTCCTGTAATAACCTTTAACATAATTTCTATCTAATTCTATTGCCTTTGTAGCATCAGCCAATGCAGAACCGAAACATTCGAGTTTTAATTGTGCTATACTTCTATTGCCGTAGTAAATAGCTTTGTCAGGGTTCAATTTAATACACATGCTATATCGGTTGATCGCCTCTTCATAACATTGCTCTGAAAAAGTAGTTAAAAATGTAAGGTCCAAAATAAAAGACAATTAAGATAATAAGAGATTATAATAAACATATAACGCCTTAAGTCAGCAGGGTTGTCAAAGAATCAGCTAATTTAAATTTATACAATGATAGAAATTTTAGACTCAAGCAAAGTATTTGTACTCACTCAAAGCATTTTCTGTGTAGATGTGTTAGTGAGTTTTGAAGAAGTGGGAAGGATGTAGGGATAGAAATCCATTTTTCTATGAGGAGTCGGCTTCTTTGAGATGAAAGGGGCCAACAGTGGAAAAAAGTTTAATGGTTTGTCGTCATGCCTGGATATTTCAGGATTATTATAGACGAGGATTATTGTGGAAAGGAGAAATAAATTGTTGAAGAATTAGACAATTAGAATTGTTAGAATGTATACTAAGGGTTACACTCCCGTCCCAGAATAAATTAGTTTTTTTCCTTTTCAAAGATTTTTAAGTTTGTTTTAATATGTTTTATGTTCATACATAAAAGTGATTTTTTTGAATTTTTTTATGTTGAGAGGTATTTTTATTTTCACACTAACCAAATATTTTAATAAATACCTGAATTATAAAAAACATAGGTGGTAATGTTACAAAAAGGCAAGTGCATTAAAAATATATCAATATTTCAAAGTGAGCTACTTTTTTTATGGAGCAGTATAAATATAATGAATGAAACCGAATTTAAAAAAATATATACATATAAAAATGAAATAACAATTCAGCACAAATAACAAAACCGAACAAATGGATTAGTGACACTGATGGAAACTGTGCTAGTTTGGTGCCAAAAAGGCTTAACGCAAATTGTAAAGTTTTTTCGTTTTATGTTTTTCAGGTGGGATTTTTGTGAGTAAAACTTTAAAAAAAAATTTTTTGCTGATGAATAAGTAATAAAATTGGCACTAGTCAATTTATATAAGGAAAGTGTTGTCTTTTTGAAGTCGACTCTTTATTTAAATACAAACCCATATAAGGGGAGAAAAAATATGTTTCCCTTGGAAGAATCTAAGTCTAAACAAGACCCTAAAATGAAGTAGGATTAATTATAAGTAAAAGTCTTACGGGCAAAGCATCTGTTGGCCTCTTCTTTGATTTCTTCGGCTCTGACTTTATTTTCGACCATTTCGACGCAGTTCTCTCCGACGGCTGGTTCCATTTCGACCGGTTCGATCCTTACTCAATCCAAAATTCCACGATGATAACAGATTTTGGAGATCTTAATCTTTGACTTTATTATCACCGGGGGAGGGGGTTTCGGTTGAAGTTCGTAACTAACTCGTTCCCTTCCTATAGGAAATAATTATCATTACAGATAGATTGGACGAACGGGCTTTGTCACATTCACCAGTGGATCTCGACGATTTGGCTTGACACGTATTTAATTTGCTAAAACTAGAAATTAGTACGGCTAAGTGCTAAAACATGCTCTCGGTCTCGTGTAGCTAGCTGCAGTTGACCTCTCCGACGGGTCCCCACTCCTTTACCTTTCGCACTACTACAGTGCTACCCTGCCCTACCGCATCCGCGCTTAAATTTTACCTCAGACCTAACCACGAATTCCTCACCACAGGTGACGTCGATTTTTGTCGTCGGAAAAGATCTCGGTTAGTTAGTGGACACGATTGAACTGAGTCCTCACAAAATTCCTTTAAAGCATACGCAAGTTCCAGTTAGAAAACGCATTGCCATTAAAGCGCTAGCATGTAAAAAAATCACATCGAAATTAGTCAGTAAATTCATCCAAAATTTCCAAAACCTAATGGTACTAGGATACAAAAGAATTGTGTGTAACGAAAAGGCAGACACACTGGTCAGAAACCATCTGTAAAACCATATATAGACCCTAAACCTATTCTTAGGATAACAAAAATAAACTGGGACGGAAAATCCACTGGAACGAAATTAACACATCTAAATTATACAAATGTAAAAAAAATAAAAAATTGACCTTGTCAGGAATCTATCTAGAAATTCTTAAATACAGTTCTGTTAAATCAATCTTCAAAAACGGAAATCGAACTGATGCGTTCAATTACAGACCCCCCATCTGTATTCAGTCTACAATAGCAAACGTTTTTGAAGCGATAGTTTAACAGCTCTTCATTTAGCTGGATGATCATACCCAACAACATGGTTTTCATCCTGGCAGATCAACTATCACAAACCATTTTTTTTTCAAGGTTCCACAGTTATGGCAATTGCAGCTGGATACCAAGTGCATGCAGTCTACTTTGATTTCTTTAAGGCATTTGATAAAATATACTGTCAACTACTTATTCACATCATTGACATGAGGTTCCATGAAACACTTCTGCCCTATTTCTACCTTTAAAATAAATAAACAATAATAATAATCGTGTTTTATTTTCAAACTTTCAATACATGGTAAACAGAAGAGAGAAAAAATAATAAATTTCTTGCCTGAAATTATTCATCTGGCGAGTTGATCAAAATTAAATTTAAGAAGATTTCTTTTTTTAAGTACATTATTAAAGCAAATACTACTGTTACTTATACTAATTAAAATATATATAAAATACGAGAAGCTTCAATGATTAAATTGAAGTAATAGGATTAATAATTGAATTCTCCTATCAAAACGTTTCTATATTTGCAACTATTAATAAGAAAATTACATAAAGCAGTGTGTTAAATTGAAAAATGCATGTCTGAGTTATTGTTATTGTAACTGGGTAAATACCCATAAATAATAAATAATTAAATAAATAAATTGCTGGATTAAAATATGACGTTCCAAACTTGACGCCCTTTCCCCAGCAAGTAGACTTCGATTTGGACCCCCCTCCCCAAGTACTGTTGCAGTCGTTGATACTTTGATAGCACTTTATCAGTCGTGTATCACAGATAAACAATTTTGTCTCTCTCTCAATTTTTTTTTGTTTTTTATTAATTTTTCATTTGCCACCTGTTTTTACCCTTTGTGAGAAGAAGAGCCGGCACCGTGACTTCGGAATGAGACGAGGCCTAAGTTAACATTCCCTCCCAGGACAACCAACTTCAAATAAGGATTGTAAGCTATTTATTTTGGATATGGATATTTTTATCACTTTCCCTCTGCAAGATTATTCAAAAATTCAGTTTAAAATCTCTGAAAAAATAAGTGAAACTAGTTGCAATTGAAATTGTAACGCGAATAAATCAATTAACCCAATACGAAAGGCTTAAAGTTAAACTTTTTTTGTACGATACAAAGTAGCTTAATTTCTATAAGTTAAAAGAGATAAAGAGAAAGAAGTATAACATTTGTATAGTTTCTGGATTGTCGAATTTTCTAGTGCCAACATTTGTTATTTTCTGTTTAACTTAACAATAAATATGATATCAAGGAAATTTGACATCCTAGGAAAGCTTTTACACTATGGTAAGTGTATAGTTTACTTACTCATTTATTTATTTTTTATCTAGTGGGAAAATACCAAAACATACAACATAAGAAATTCACAATACGTGTACAGTATGTTAAACATGTAACGACATTAAAAGTAAGAGGCGGTCTGGTGTGATGTAGGTTTCAGAAAAACATTTTCATGTTTCGATCTTTATTGAGATCATCTTCAGGGCTCAAAGTGTTTGTTTATGCCCCTTGGGCACTCTCAACACAACATGCAAGAATGGCACAATTATACAGAAAACAAACACTTTGAGCCCTGAAGATGATCTCAATAAAGATCGAAATGTTGGTGTGATAAAGAAAATGTTTTTCTGAAACCTACATCACACCAGACTGCATCTCACGATTTCTGAATAATCATTGACAAACGGTCACTAATCACCACACATTAAAAGTAAGTAAAGTAATTCCTGTTATACAAGAGGGCTTAATGTCCAACTTCCTGTTGGGTGTTGAACCATGAAGGGTCAAACCACTTTACAATACTTCTTTCGTACTATTCTCAATTGAAAAGCCATGGGCTATGCCGGGATTTGAACCCAGGACAACTAGTGTGGCAATATGAGTTGTACATCCTAACCATTCGGCCACCACGGTCCCAAAAATAAAGTCCTCCAGACAGGTGGAACTTCCCTTAAGTGTTCCATGAGGCTCTACCATTTCCCTCTTTGTGTTCTGAATTTATATCAGTGATCTTCCTGACTTATTCAGCATTGCGATTACCACCCCTATGCCGACAACTCCCAAATCTATAAGTCCTTCCATCCCTTCAATCTACATGCTATCCACAGAATTCTTGAAAATCTGAATTCCCTAACAAATGGGCACATAAAAACAACCTAGAATTAAATGCTGTGAAGTCCAAAGCCATTGTTATAGTCACCTCCTCAAATCTCTCCCCCATTCCTCCTTTCACCATCAACAACCAGCCTATTTCCTTGTGCTCCACTGTTAAAAACCTTGGGCTTACCTTTGACCAAAACCTTTCCTGGAAAACCCATCTCTCATTCAATTCTGCCAGTCCTGGCTCCTTCTACCTTTCAACACTCGTAAACTCCTTGTCTCCTCCTTCATCTTTCCCTCTTTGACTAAGCTGTGTTGCTTATGACGGGCTTTTGGATGAACAAGAAAAGCATGCGAAAAGACTAATGAAATGGTGTGTCAGATTTATTTTCAGCCCTCCCCCCCGGAATGTCCAGAGACTCACACCTATATTCATGCCTATCCTGGCTACATACCTCCTTCCATAGGAAATACTTCCTAGGCAACTTCCTTTACCAATCCATAAAATCTTGTTAACCTCAATATATTTTCCAGCTACTTCGTTCAAATCTTCTATCCACTCTCTTAACACCTGCTCTTCTCCCAGAGACCTATACCTTCCTCGTCATAAAACCTGCACATCTGTATGATCCTTCCTATCTTGAGCCAAAAATCTCTGGAATTCTCTTCCTTTGCCACTCCACAAAGCTGCCTCCCTTACCTCTTTTAAATCCATCCTGTACAAACACCTTATCTCCTGCCAAACAGAACCAACACAGAATATTATTAAGTTCTTTTACTACATAAGAAAGCTTGTTTCCCTCCTTTTAAGTTTGTAGTTTGTGATTATGATCTCACAAGACTGAATATTCTTTATTATTATTATTATTATTTTCCATAAATTCTTATTGTTGGTAATATTATTTCTATTTCGTCAAACCTTCATTAATTCAAGTGCCAGATTTATAAAACTTTTTGTTGCCTTATTGTTATTCTTAGGGGACTCTAGTCCCAGAAAAAAGTATTTTCTCTCTCTTTCTCACTCTCACACGCGCATGCTCGCACGCACACAAACACACACACACACACACACACACACACACACACACACACACACACACACACACACACACACAGAGGTGGGCTGACATCCAACTACCCTTTGGGTCTCATGGTTGATGATATCAAACCACTTTACAATACTTTTTTTCATATTATTCTCAATTAAAGCAATGGACTCTGCCAGGATTTGAAGCTAGGGCAACTAGTGTAGCAGTATGAGTTGTACACCTTAGCTAATCGGTCACCACGGTCCCAAAAATAAAGTAATTCCTCCAGAGAGGTGGAACTTCCCTTAACTTGCACTACTAACTGGCACTCACGGTGAGGGATTAAGGGACAAGGAGGTCTCAAGGCCATCATTTAATAAGGTGATGTGGCAGGTTCTCAAAATGGAAATGTGTGGAAAGGGAAGAGTGTGGAAACCTCTTTGAAGTAGAGTAGGGTTACGATGAATTGAGTGAGTGGTTAAAACTTTTGGTCAGCTTGTTGATGAAATGTTGAGGCCGTTGTAGATAGGTAGGTTAATGACATAGTCTGGCTTTGACAATTTGAGTACTTTTGATTGAAAAGATTGGATGCGAGTTAAGAAGTTAAGAGAAATAAGCCAAAGCTGGCACTCAATATGAGGTTTAAGGGTTGAGGAGGTCTCAAGGACATCATAATTTAAAGGTGATGTGGTGAGTTCTCAGAATATGAAAATCTAAGGTTTGGGCAGTAGGGTTAGGATGGGTCGAGAGGTTGATGTTAAACTTTTGGAAGAGGGATCTAATCAGTTCGTTAACAAAAGCAATGTTGAGGTTATATGGATCGTGAGGTTAGTGACATTTTGAGGTGACTTTTGATTGGAAGGATTGGATATGCTAGATGTTGGATGGTTAGGCAGAACCCCACATTTCCTCTCTGTCCAAAGTAGTCATAGTAATGGCTTTATGAGGTTAATTCAGTTTTGCCGGTCAAGACGGATTTCCATCTTAGAAGTGTTCATACTTGTCCAAGTCATGTTAAGTTGTTGTCTCTTAAGGCTTGTGCAGGGATTCCATGTCAGTTTGCTGTCTAAGTATATTAATACTAAAATTTATTGTTAACTTTTTGTCATTTTTGTTAAAAATGTACTTTTTGTTATTTCTGTTCTAAGATTGAGCTTTTTATTAATCTCTATTTCATTTTTTTAACAATATAAACATATTTTGTTTCAGATCGTCTAAATGTAAATGCACAATGGAAGCACCTCAACCAGTTTACACTACAGTCGGAGCCCCGACTTCGCCTGTCATTTATGTAGAGAATAATATTAGCTCCCTCTGTCGTCTCTGTGGAAATGTCAATGACTATTTAATTCCCCTCTTCTCTGGAGAAGGCGTTGAACATGAACTGGAATGCAAGATCAACAAGCTTTTACCTGTAAAGGTGAATTGAATATTAAAACAACCCAATTTTTTCACCCAATGATCTGTTGACGTTCAACGTAAAACACCAAGTCTTACAAAAAGTCTATTGACAATTTTTGTCCGCATGATTATTTACTTTTCATCCCCTGAAAAGGGGAAAAAACTTGCCTTTTTTTTTTAAATTTAGTTTTGTAATTTATGTTTTAGGTTTCAATATATGACCGTCTCCCAGATCACATTTGCTATTCATGCGCTTCTACAATTATTGCTTTTTATATTTTGTTGGAAAATTGCAAAGAAGTAGAGAAAAAGTTATCTTCTTTTTTCATTAGTGATATTAATAAAGAAAAAAAGGAAATTGTAGGACCAAATGAGACCTACAGTGTTGTGGTATGTTCAGCATTTATCATTTGATTTGTATTAAAAATGTTGTATGTGTTTCGGTATCATCAGTGGTGTCATTGGTTTTATCTGATAGAATGGCGAAACATTGTCATATTCAGCCATGTTGAGAACCTACAAAAAGAGCAAACCTACTTGGAAAATTCATAGATCACTCATTGAAGGTGGCAAAATGGCATCTGAAAGATCTAGGATAGATAGATCAGGAGGATCAGAAATGACCCAACTGTAGACTTCACAATGAAAAATGCCAGTATTACAGTTGAAATGAACTGAACACTAATAATACAAAACATTTTCCCATGATTATGTAGCTCTTGTTGGAGAGATACCATAGACTGTTGTTGTCTGGGCTCCCGGACACATTTCTGGAGGGTAACAAATAAGCAAAGCAGATGAGACTAAGGCCGGGACGTCCCAATCTCTGAACTTAACCACCACGATCCGGCCCCCCCTTATGCTAAAAATGAATTAAAAGAAAGTGGCAGCATCGGTGGGTTGGATCAGCTGAGAAGCTTTTGCACATCAAGAGCATTGTCACTAGATGGCCCTTGGAGGATCTCACTTATAGAAAAGAGGTCATTCTCACCTGATTAAAAATAGGTCATGTAAGGTTGACACATGGACACTTTTGGGCCAAACCCTCATATTTGTACAGTATGAAGAGAAAGGTGGATCGATGTGTCCCACTTTATTGAAGTGTGCTACACCTTGGCTCAATACAGAGAGCATTGGCATGCCGCCCATGAGAATCATGTTTGAGCACAGCAGTGAGTAGGGTCCTCTCTTCCGATTCTTGAAGGATACAGAATTGTTTTATTGGATACTGATCGTTTTGGGTCCCTAGTGTGTGTTGAGAGTGAATGAATTTATTGGCATGAATGTGTTGTGCGAGAAGACAAATGGCGGCATATTGAGTACCCAATTGGACCTCAATTAGATTAGTTACATATTATGTGTGGAGGACGACGGAGAAAAATCAAATACTCCACCTCCCTAACTGAGTGAATGGTATGTAAATAAGTAAGAATCTATTTAAGAGTGAGTGAGAGTGTGAACAGGTTTGGATCTAGGAACTGATTGTGTTGGGTGCTGAATTGACCTAGCTGATGGTATCACCCAGAGCGCAACCTCAGTGACTGTGTGGGGTAAAACCGAGGTCTAACTCCGAATTGCCAACACCCGAGGTGGGTGCTTCTTAAGGCCTGCTGGTAATTTATTGTAAATTACAACAGTGGGCATTGCCAATGGACTGCCAAAAGTGATACACTCAATTCTGAACTTGTGCGTTTGTTTGTACATGCGTGTGCAGAGTTGAGCTTACATAAATCAGTAATCATAATTATGTTATTTATGTAATATCATCTTTTTATAACATAAAAAATATAAATGAAGGGTATTTGACAAAATCAAGAAATCCGTGATTTTTTAATTTTAATTTTTGTACATACATTATTGTAGCCAGTATGGATTATTGTTAATTTTTCTTTTAATCAATTTTTTGATCAAAAAAGATTAAGAAAATTAAACTTAACATACTTATTTATCTCTGGATAGTTTTACTTTGTATATTATAAACTCATATTTGATTAGAAAAATTATTTAATTAAACATTTTTAGCATATTTGTACAATTGATATTTTTATGATTAAAAAAAAAAATATTTATAGGGCTCTTCTTACCTATGTGACGAAATAGCTAACTGCAGATCAAAAAGCATGGCTTCAAAGCAATTAAGCAACAATAATTGTGCTGACAATACTGACAGTAGAAACACACCAGATACGAGGTATTATCAATTAACTTCTCTCAATATCCCATTTTTATATTGAAAATTTAAATTTGAATTAACTTAATATTATTATTTTTAATAGGTATCAAATCTCGTTATTAATGTAAATTAATTAATAATTAATTTTGTTAATTAAATTAATATTTAGCAAATTTTTTTACACTTCATATCAATATCCCTAGTAATTAGGAATGGGTTCTATAAAAATCCAAATTTCTGTTTAAATAAAGGTGTCATGGAGAAATTATTACATAAATTTTTTCCATGTTAAACATTAAATGATTTAAACAACTTTGATAATTTCTTATTAATTTATCTGATTATACGTTGGAGAAATAGTAAAACTAATACACTAAGTCAAAAAAAGTTTATTTTCAATAATAACTAAGATATAAAAATTAATAGTTGATGGATGGTTTGACCAATAATGGACAAGTCCTGGGTGTGCCATGTTCTACCATCCACAATGGTCTACAGTGGTTTAGGGCCACTGTAAGTATCGATGGAAGAGAAGGTAGTTGTGAACCGCGATGTATGACGGCTAGAAACAATGGTGTTTTATTGCTCTTACCACACTAAGGAACTGTTATTTAACGGCTTCCTTGGTAGGTAGTCAACTCCACACGGTCCGTAATGTAAGGGTGAGCTCTAAAGCAGTCATCAGTGGGCTTTGTGAGAATAGCCTAGTCTCTAGATGTACCGCATTAGGTTTTTTACTACTAGAGAGGTACTGAGTAGTAATACGACAATTTGCAACACACGACACAATGGGAATTGGACACTCAAACAATGGGGGGTTGTTCTCTTCACAGATGAGTGCTGGCTTGTTTGTGGCAATTAAATGACCAGTACCATGTGTGGAAAAGACTTGGAGAACACTTTGCTTCATGTACCATGTGTAAGTCATAGCCTTTTCAAAGCCAGTCAGTTCTGGTATGGAGTGGAATCAACGTCGATGCCTTATCAGAAAGAACCTTTGACTTCACTAAGGTACATTGAGGAGTTCTAGAAGCGGGCCACATTTGCTCCATTTATTGGGGACAATTTCGTGTTAATGCATAATACTGCTCAACCGCATGTAAGAGTTGCCGCCCATTGCTTGAAGGATATAGGGATTTCCACAATGAATTGGCTAGCACGTTCTCCTGACACGATTCCCATAGAACACTTATGGGACATGATAAAGAGATGGGTTAGACATCAATACAATAGCCTCTAACAAGTGTTAAACAGCTTCAAACCCCTGTTGTTGAAGAATGGGAACCAAGTTATAAATTGTTAGTTAAATTTTAATCTATCATTAATGATTTTCCTGCGATTTTGTGAATTTTCTTTACAACTATCATAATTAAATAATTTTTATTAAAACTCATGAAGTTCTGATTTTTGTTTAATTTGGTTTACATTAAAATAAGTATGTTGTAATTAAATAACAAAAAAATATATACAGTTTGAAATAAACAAAAAATACAAGTGCCTGGTTTTATGTCTTTGAATGTATATTTTCAGTTGGTAAAATGCCAGAGAACTTGCTAGTGTTCATTGTAGTGTTTTATGGCAATTCAAATATCTACTTTACTTGTATAATTAAAAATAATTAATTTTGTTGTTATTAAATGTTTTCAGCCAAAAGGCACATGTGGATGAACCAGCCGACAAGAATGGACAACCGAAAGACTCTAAAAAACAGAGAAAAAGGAAAAAACGAAGTATCAGTACATGCTTAATTTGTGGCAAAGTATTTAATTTTCTAGAGTATCTTAAGACACATTTACTTATACACTCTGAAAACAGACCACATCTGTGTCATATATGCGGTGCTACATTTAAAAGGAAAGATCACGTAAACCATCATAGAAGGACTGTACATATCACCCATCGTGACGTTATCAGGGAACTTGGTGCGAAAGGCGAAGAACCGTTGACGTGTGAAGTATGCGGTGATGTGAAACCAACGAGACATGCAATGCAAGTTCACAAAAAGAAGCATAGCAAAGTTTGTTTATGTGATGTTTGTAATAAATCATTTTCGCTTTCTTCATTGCTAAAAGAGCATATGATAAAAGACCATGCGGAAGATTTATGCACTTGTAGTATCTGTGGTGATGTTATGAAATCTGGCCATTCCCTCTACCTTCATAAAAAGAAGCACCTAACCAGTTATATTTGTGATGTTTGCGGTAAAAGTTTCTCTTTACCGTCCTCGTTAAGAACTCACATGGTTGTTCATTCAGACGAAAAACCATTCACATGCGAAGTATGCGGGAAATCTTTTAAACTCAAAGGAAGACTACAGTTGCATAAAAAAAATCATGAAAATATTCGGCCTTATGCATGTAGTATTTGTGAAAACAAAAGGTTTAAAACTAAATCAGCCCTTATAGTGCATAGTAACATGCATAACGATACGAGACTTTACCCGTGTCCACACTGTACATTTAGAGCGCGGAAAAATTCAGATTTAGTTTGCCACATCAGAACGCATACAGGAGAAAAACCGTACAAATGTGATATTTGTGGAAGAGGCTTTGCTCAGGCGGGTGACATGAGAAAACACAGAACAACTCACGATAAGCAAAAAATGTGATAATGCCTTATAAACAGAAGGCCAATTTATGCATTGATATAAATGACTTATTTATTATTATTATTTGTTGTTGAACTGCATATATTGTTTATAAATTGCAGTTCATTGTATGTACATACTAGAAAATTTTATTGGATTTTGTAAATCAAAACTGGTTTATTCAATGTTTTAAAATATACAATTTATAATTTTTTGTTTAATTTATTATGGCATTTTTGCTTATTTCAATTTTAGTCAACAGATTCAAAGTATTCTTTTATTTTCTGTCTGCAATGGGTGGCGTCTGGCGCAACAAAGTCAGCAAATTTTCTCCATGTGCAAGGAATGCCATTGGTGAAGATGGTGGTGAATTTTCAAGTGGGTTGTCTAAGGCTGAAATGTTTTTATTCTTTTGACCATCACTTTGTTCATTGTCATCTTCGTCGCAAGGACTGACGATGTCAATCTCACAGTCACAATCAACAGAATCTAACATTGAACAAATTTACTGATCTGACATATTTTTTAAATTGTATAGCTTTTTATTTATTTTTTTAAATAAATCTTCTTAAAAAGTAGAGGACATCAATTTAGAAACCTGCTTTCATATAAAATTAGCTAAACTATTTAAAAAAATACTTACTTTCTTTTCTAACCACCAGAATCTAACATTGAACAAATTTACTGATCTGACATATTTTTTAAATTATATTGCCTGATCTCACCTTTGGCTTGGGATCTGCTATATCTCAAAATCACTAAATACTTAATTATAAACATTTGTCATTGCAACAATTATTTATTTCCAATTAATGTTAAAAACACAACACAAATTAAGAAACAATACATTATTGAAATTGCAAAAAAAAGGCAAATTTTAAATAATTTTGTAGGAAAGGAAGGAGTGTTGATGGAACAATGCCAGAGTGAGGTCACATTTATTGTGCTCTGTAAAAATTTAAATTTTCAAGTAATCAGTTGAAATGTTGGATTTATGATTTTTGGCACATATATAAAATACATGTTAATGAACATTACTACATTTTTTACAAGTGTTTTTGAAAAAAGCATTTTTGTAAGTATGTCAGCTTCAAATGCAGGGTCACTGGATTCAAACCCGGGACCTTTACCTTCACAACACCTAAACTGTTACAGTCACCAACATTCATGTTCAATATGTCCATTGTGGGGAATAGTAAATTGAGCGACCTTTTCTTTTAAAATAAGACCTCTGTCCCAGCAGAACCCATGGTTTTTTGGTGGATTGTAGTATGAAAAATGTATTGCGAAGTGGTTGAACCTCTCGTCCCGACACCCAACGGGATGACCCTACTGTATGACAGGAATGATTGTTCATTTTTTTAAACTTTATATGATACTAGTAGTGCAGTCAAATTCCATGTTAAATGTTCAACTTGGCATTTTATGGCTACAATATTGAGAGGAGGAGGGATTTATTAAAACTAAATTATTCATTGGGTACAACTCAGGATTGGCACAAGTGTGCCCCATGCAATACGGGGCAATGGAAATAAGTACTGCTTCATAGCGCCCACTCTTAAAACAATACTGTAAAAGGGGGTTCAAAAAAGAAAAAATTGGCATGGGAAGAATTTATAAATGTTTGAATGGTAACTATTGGGAAAATTTAGTTTGTTACTTGCTGCAATCATATAAATTTTAAAAAAATTTAATTGAAGAATTCAACTTTTAGTTAGGTACTTTATATATTTATTTGTAAATTTTGGTTTGTATACTTAAGTCAACACTCCTACAGATGTATTTGTAAAACTTGTATGTAACAAAAAAAGATATTTTGTATTGTAAATATTAATAACATGCATTTATTATTACTAAATAATTTTTCAGTTATTTGTATTTTTTTAAAAGTGGTATAATCAAGAAATGAATAATATGAGAAAACTTTACTTTGTTTTTAGAAAACATACCTTATTTACTACAATCTGGATCGATGTCACTTGTCAAACTGCGCATCAAAATAAAGTCATTGCTGAACTGAAAACGATGACAAGACAGGCAAGACAAACAGAAATTTATTGTAAATAAATCATTTGTACATTTACTAAAATAATAATAATAAAGTAAACTTAATATGGCATGGCTGGTGAAACTGTCAGCCAAAGTTCTGGCAGCAACCAAAATAAATAAAACGTTTTTCCACTTTCAAAAATTAAATTCATTAGTGATACTAACTGTATATCAGCCCTGCATAATTTAGACAGGCATTACCAGCCGTCGCCGCCATCTTGCAACATCCGGATCGCTCCAACCTTAGAAAGAAAGTATTTGCCGATGAAACCCTGCGAGAATGGGGCAAGTGAATATAAAATTAGCGGTATCTTCATTTTCCCCTTTGTTGCACATTGCACACAAGGACCTCCTACCTCGATCGTCATCATACGGCTTAGTACTTAAGTTTAATGCCTCTGCTTTCAGATTAAATATCCATCTTCTACTCGAGCATCCTCTTTCAAGTTTGCACATTTTTTGGCCGTCATTGTCCTTTTTTAATTAATTGATTTATTATTTATACAAAGTGTGGTTGAAATAAAAATTAGTGGCTCGAGTCAGACTCAAACCCACAACATCCAGATTTAAGTACCGTGGCGCTCTTCCTCATGTGCTATCGTATTTTCAGTCCCAGAGATATCAACTCATCATCCCAACTTTCAACTTAATTTTTTCAAAATTTCCTTCGTTTTTCATTTTATTGTCCTTTCATAGATGGTAAATCTGCAACATTCCCATTTGACAACAAGTTTTATATTTCTCTTCTGTAAATCTCTTCAAGATAGCTTTGGCTCCATGAGAGTATTCATACGGATGGAGATGTGACAATTGCTTACTAGATCAACTTACCTTTTTGGGGCAACCTTAGAACAGGCTCATCAAGATTATGCCATGGCTGGAGAATTAAATAAAATGAATGTATAAATATCAATTAAGGGTGATCAAATTAAAACTATCTTTAAAATAAAAAAGATCTTTATACAAACAAAACCAAAATATGACCACTTAAGAAAATAAACTGTAAGTAAAACAATAAGTATTCTCCACCGACCCATACAGCACCCAAGGTTGTGGCCTCCACTTAGACCTACTTGTAAAAATAATTTAACTATTTGCTTTCTGACACCTTGCTTCAATCTCATCCGGAACACACCTGCCCCACTACATTGAAATCTTCGGGGATCTAAAGTAGGGGGCAACCGGTCACATTGATATATATGACGGCTTGGTGTCACAAAGTCTAACTTTCTCACCAAATCCACCCATGTACCTGTCCAGAAAGTTTCCACCTTAATTGACTTGATAGCCAGTATTTTTGGGAAGATGGTTGGAGGCATTGAAGCTATTCTCGCTACATAATTCATATGCAGGCCTAGTGTATACTAAGAGTGTCCGACTCCATCTCCAAATGGATAAGTACCTGGGAATGTATCTGGGCGGAACAGAATAGCCTTTGAGTCAATATATTTTGTACACCTATAGCCTCATATTCCTTCCTTGAAACCTCAAACCCACACACCATAGCATAATGACGTATGACTTCCTGCTTAAAAGTATGCCCCTGTCTACAAAGGCACTGCTCCATACTAAGTTAAGTGCAAAGTTTGTCGCTTTTGCCTTTCTCTTCACATGCTTTTTGAAGGATAGCCATTGGGTACGCATTACTACATTGATACAGTCCAGACCAAATATCCTTGTTCTGCAGACACTCGTCGGCCCCCATTCGGCAAAATCATTATTTTGGACTTTTCCCAATTTATAGTCTCCACTTCTTCCAGTATTCCTCGAGTAGATTGAAATTTGTAAATGCCCCAGATTTTCAGACAAAAGCACTAGATAATCTGCATACATTAGCAATTTAATATTAGTGCCACCAATCTTGACTCCACATAGCAACTCTTCCTCTAAGTCATTGGAGAGGAGAACAGAAGAACTCAGTGGGCAGCTTTGCTATGGTATGGTATAGTAGAAATGGATACTAGGAAGCAGGGTTTGCAGCCTTCTGGCTTATTGCATCTTCCTAGTTCCTTAGTTCAGTGCAATAGACTCAATCCTTCTTCTTAGAAGTATCAGGTCATTGACTGTTGCTGCTGCAATTTGATTCCGTAAGTTTTTTTCCATAGGTTAGGTTAAACCTCCATTGAGCTGTTGCTCGCATTCGAAGATGATATGGGTGGCTGTTTCCTCCTCCTCATTACATAATCTGCAAATGGGATCATCACTGTATATACCCATGTTGTGCAGATGTTTTCTCAGATGCCAGTGACCGATTGGTAGTCCTACCACTCCTTTGGCCCTCTCCAATTGCAGGAGTGCTTTTGCCAGTCTCGGTGAGGGTTGTTTCATCATAAGTTTACCATGTCTAGCACCGCTAGAGTTTATCCACTTCTCCTTTTGTCTTGCTTGGATCCATTCTGCGATGGAGGATTCTATATTTGTTCTTGTTATCCCAAGAATAGGTTCGGGGCCCGTGTATGGTCTTGCAGATCCTCCTCTGGCCAGTCTGTCTGCTTTCTCGTTACCCAAAATTCCTCTGTGCACCGGCACCCAAGATATCATCAGGATGTTGTGTTTCCCCAGGTTTTGGAGGTTTTGAATGCATTCACTGACTAATTTTGATGTGATTCTTTTACATGCTAATGCTTTAATGGCTGCTTGGCTATCTGATCTTATGAGGAATTTTTTGTCAGTATAACCTCTTTTAAGATTTTCCAGGGCACAAGCATTGATGGCATGGATTTATGCTTGAAAGACCAAAGTGTACTTCCTTAATGAGTTTGATTGCTCATTTTTTGGGCTTGTACAGAAAACGCCTGATCCAGTTCCTTCGTTTGTTTTGGAGCCATCTGTGTACCATATCATTGTATCTGATGCTCTCCTGTGTTCTTCCTCTCCTTTATAGTCCATTGAGTCTTTATAGGAAGTTGTGAAGATTGTTTCTGAGATCATATAATCATTTCCCATTTCTAATAATGGGTGTCTGATTTTGTTGATTATGGTTGTATGCCCGAATTGTTTAGTTCCTTTCCAATTTAATTGCTTCTGGAGCCTAAGTGAGCTTTTCCTAGCCTCTCCTTGTATGAATATTTCCAGTGGAGGTAGGTTTAGCAAAGTTTCTAATGCATTTGTAGGGGTTGTTCTCATTGCCCCTGTGATACACAGGTTTGCTATACTCCGCAGCTCACCTCCATCCTTTGAGTCAGACTGTTTCCTGAGCAGACTGACATTGTCACCTTGGTGCACAGTCGCTTCAAGGTGTGAATGAATCTGCATGATGCTTTACCAAAAAGTAAGTTGTGATCGATGGCTTTCAGGTCAAAAAAAAAAAAAAAAAAAAAAAAAAGCATTACGAAGATTTACAAACAAGTGATTTTTAATTTTTGATTTAAACCCCATCATTTTGTAAAAAAAAAAAAAAAAAAAAGCATAGACCTTACCGCAACTTTCCCAAGTTTCAGGTTTTGAGACTCGTGAGGGTAAAAACGGCTTGTATAGCGGAATAGCCTTGACAAACCCCATTCTGACTCTCTGATAGAAATTTAACCTTTTCCACTAAATTTTTAATCTACTAGTTGGAAGGCAAGAAAAGAGTTTGCCAATGCAATTAATGAAAGAAAGTCCTTTGTAATTTCCAAGTAGGTTGAGTGTCCTTTCTTGAAAAGTGGGTATACCAAAAACGATGAACACAGAAAGTTAGCAGGTACTCAACTAGACCTAAGGAATTCATTATTCCGAAAGACCCATCACAGCAAAAAATAAAAAATAAATAAAAAAATAGAATAAATAAAAAAAATAAAAAAAGCACCAGCACTCATCAGGCTGAGAGAGTTAAATAATCATATAAAAATAATTCTGTAAAAACTAATTTTATTTACAAAAACAATTTGTTTAATGTCTTTCTCTTCGGATATCACAGTATCCGAGATTTAATAAAACCATTTTAAGGTCATTTAACTATGCACAAATTATGCTCCTAAAGTAGAGAGAATATCGGTAACTTAAAAAACAATAGGCGCAGGTATTGTATTACAAACACTCAACTTTCCAATTAAAAAAGAATAATCACCACATAATCTTTATGATTATATATTGAAAACTATGATACAAATTCTATAAATAATAAGCTTTTAATAATACACTTGATGATATTAATAAATCATTTTTTTTGTTAATTTGTACACTCAGTTGAATAATGGAAATTGTGTTTCTGATATTGATAATACAAAATAAATTAATTCCCTTGTATCAATTTATTTTTACAATATGTTGTACAAAATAATTATTGTAATACCATGTTCTCAAGGACGTTTGTTTGAAAACGATCTTCACTTTCATATCCAACAATGTAGCTGATTTATAAGTAAATATTGTAATTTACCTATTTTTGTTATGTTCTGCACCTTTTCTTGAGAAAGTTGGCATAGATTGTCTCAAAGGAAGATCGACTATAAGCTTTTTCCATCAGTTTGTTTGGTTGATTGCATCAGTTTAAAGTACATGCCTTCCTTTGTCATTAGTTCCATGTGCGTTCCAGCCTAATAAGTGGAAAATAAAACAATTTTATTTCCATCTTGGGGTGGTTTATTATTATAACTAGAGCCCAGAATTGTATGTGGGTGATTACATATTCTTTTTTGCCGACACTTATGACCATGGTAATCAGACATTTATCCAAATCATACCTCCATGGTACAGTGGTTCAAATTTTATTCTGCATATTTCAAGAGTATTGCAACTAGGAAATATTTTGGATTACTTAGAAAAATAAATAAAAAAACTAGGCAACTAAGAACATGAAAGGAAAAATTCTGATTTCAGTTAACTTTCCAGGAACGAAACTTAAACAAACTGACACAATAGAATCCTCTTGAAATAATCTCCAAATTTTATTTGAGGCTCCCATTTCCAAAACTTTTGGGTACAGCTTTTTGCAAAATTAATTTTTCGGAAGTAGTCAGGCTGTGGAAAGAAGAGCCTCATTTGAAAGACAAAAATAGTCAGTCCTCTTTCATATTTTTAACCTAGTAAATCTAAAAAAAAGGACAAAAGTGGGAACTTCAGCTTCTAAAATAAAAGGCTGGATTTTTCTTTTCAACCCACAACAGAAATTAGTTAAATACCCAGCATTATATTACAAATGAAATTAAAAAACATCCTTGATAAAAGAACCAGATTTACTGATTTAGGAAAATTAATGAAATTGAGAATCGATGATCCTGTTTTTTAAGTTCTTACAAGTATGCTTCTATCACCTCTGCTGACTATGAAAAGTCTTTTTCGAGGTACATACAAATATTTTTTGAGTGATAACGCTGCAAATTTAAAATGTAAAACTTTGAAATGTACATCATTGTCGATTTCAATTCAGATCATGAACTTAACTAAGCTTAATTACTTATTTTGTATATTTTAAATTGTATAATTCTTTACCAACTATATTTTTCTGTTTAATTTCCTTTAAAATGAACATGTACTAGAGAAAAAAGTCTAGGTTTGAAAAAAACTAGCTAAATTATTAGTTGGTGAAGTAGTCATCTGACATTCACCCTGCGTATTTTAATATTTTTGGTACAAATTATATGCCATATTTGAAGGTTTTTAGCGCTATAATGTTGCATATTTGAGGTTTTTAGTGCACATAATGCTGCATATTTTAATGCATATAATGTTGCATAGTTGAGGTTTTTTAGTGCATATAATGTTGCAAATTATTTTGAGGGCTTTAGTGCATATAATGTTGCAAATTGTTTTGAGGGCTTTTTAGTGCATATAATGTTGTAAATTATTTTGAGGATTTTTTAGTACATATAATGCTGCATATTATTTTGAGGGTTTTTAGTGCATGTAATGTTGCATATTTGAACGGTTTTTAATGAATATAATGTTGCATATTTGAGGGTTTTTAGTGCATGTAATGCTGATTTTTTGTCGTGCGTACAATGTTGCCTATTTGAAGGTTTTTTAGTGTATGTAATTTTGCATATTAAAGGTTTTTTATTGCATATAAATCCGGGCGCTATTATAATGATTGAACAAGTGACAAATAGTACCTCGATAATTTTTCCTTTTTTCAAGACGACAATCATATCAGCATTTTGTACAGTGGTTAAACGATGAGCTATGATTAAAACTGTTTTCCCTTTGCAGACATTTTCCAGTGTAGACTGCACTATTTTTTCTGATTCAGAATCAAGTGCACTAAAATTAAAAAAATTATTAAACAATGACATTGACATTATTATATTTGTAATTGTATAAAAGATAAACCTTGTAGCTTCATCTAAAATCAATATTGATGGATTTTTAATTAACGCTCTAGCAATTGCTATTCTTTGCTTCTGGCCGCCTGATATAGTCACACCTCTTTCGCCCAGCACTGTATTAAATCCATCTGGAAACTCATTTATAAATTCATCAGCATTGGCAAGTCGTGCAGCTTCATAAACCTGATATAGAGTCGGTTTTAGAATGTTTTAACTACGGTTTTCTTCCTTATACTAAAATAATACCTCCTCATCTGTAGCATCAGGTTTTCCATACCTGATGTTCTCTTTTATAGTTGTAGCAAACAAAACTGGCTCCTGATTTATAATTCCGATTAGTTCTCCACGTAGCCAATTGGGATCGAGTTTTTTGATATCGACTCCAGCTACGAGCACTTGACCAGAATTTACATCATAAAACCTAATTAAAACATAACAAAATGTGCAAATCATAAAGGAAAAACAAAATTATTCTTATGTAAACACTTTCTGGTTAGTATTTCATAAAACTTATTATTACAATGTTTTCGGAGCAGATATCTCATTAAAATTTTAAATTGTAAAAAGGTGAGGAAATAAATTATCCAACATTAAACCACTAAAAAATATGTATTTGATAATTTCTGATCATCCTTGTCTGCCTATGCTGGTTTGATGTTCACAAATGCACCAATAATAATGGCAAAATACCTCTGACAGATTAAAGATTAAGAAGGATGATCAGAGATATCCAAACAGCAGGTTCATCGCAAAATATCTCACAATTTAACTAAAAAATCGTAAAAATTTGCATTAATATAATTATTGATATAATGTTTGTAAATGGCTAAGTTAACTGGTTAAATTAAATATTAGTATTGTAATAACTAATTAAGACAACAATTTAAACACCTTTCGAGTAATGCAGCAATTGTGGATTTTCCATTTCCAGATGTTCCTACGACAGCCACAGTCTTACCTGCAGGTATATACAAGTTTAATCGGTTTAAGATAACCTAAAAATAAAGATTAATTGTAAAAGAAAATACACATTTTCACCACAAAACTTATAAAATGAATATAAAAAAGGATTAATTTCTTTAGATAAATTAAGCAGTCCAGAAAATTAATTGCCAAAACAGCAAATTCACTGTACATATAATACTATAAATTATCATTTTTATGCAATATAAATTTAAATATAGTTGTTAAAAATAAACTAAATAAATTATATTTTTTATATGCCATGTATAAAAGACTTGGCGTGACACACAGCCAGATTTATTTTGTAGTATGCATTGTATTTTAAAGAGTTTGCTTTGAACCGCTTTTACTTCTTTTTATGTTGCATTGATTCCGTTCAAAATTTGACAGTACATTCACGACAGGAGGTCTCCATACAATACAACCTCGGCCCAGCAGATGCTAGGGCTCCTAAAAGACAAAAACCACGAGGACGAGATAACTCGCCACAGGCCTAGGAGTGTACAAGCCCAAATGAGATAACTTGACACAGGTTCTAGAAGCAGACAAGCCCAAATGAAATGTTAAAAAATTACATTTTGATCCCAAACAATTTGTTATAAAATTTCAATTTGTAGTTACTAATGTAGAACAAAAGTGAAATAACAATGAAATTTACCTGCTTTTCTCTTGTTGGGTAAGAAAAAGTAACATCTTTAAACTCAACAGTTGGATTTAAAGAATAGTAATTAATCTTAATCCCTCCTTTACAAGGAATAGTTGGAACTATGTTGCAAAACTAAAACCAAAAATTTTAATGTTATAATATGGATTAATAAGATGAGTTAGTAATTCATGTTATGTTTTGTTGTTTAGTTGTTTGTTTAAAATGTAATGTAAGATGTGGATCTGGTGTATGGTCAGGATTAAAGAGAAGAATACACCACTAGTTGATAATCCACATAGTCATTTAAAATGTACATTAGTTTGATTATTTTGTATCCATTTGATTGCACAAACAAACCATGGTTCATATACATAGATTTATTGTAAAACACCATTGGGAGTATAATTGTCAATCTTTTGGTTTAATTCATTAATAAACATAAATGTTGTATGCAGACCAAGTTGACCAAATTACCAGTCTGTTGCACCACAGACATCAAAAAGAAATCCCATTTTTTTTTTTTTTTTGGAAACAATAGTTCTACTCACAGAAGTTAACTTCTGTGAGCAGAATATCTTTTCCAAAAAGTAAACTGCCATACCCCTCAAATTATTCTAGAAATCCCAATGTTTAAACATTACTGGCAACATTATGTTTTTCAGTCATTTGAAATTAATTAATTTTTTTATTACATATTTAATAAAACTTACTTTAAACACTCTTTCTCCAGCCTCCTTTCCTTTTACGATATGCCCGAATAGCAATGAAATTTGTGAAAATGATTTTTGAATGGTCTGCGTAGCGACTAGAAAAGACATTAGATTTCCTGGAGTTAAGTTTTGCTGTAGCATCAGGTGGCCACCAAAGCAAAGGGTACCTAACACCAAGCCATTCAAAAATAAATTTGTAGCCCCCTGAAAAAAATAATAAAATAACATAGTTAAATAAATTAAAATAAATAATAATTATTATAACAAGTGTTCATGTCAATATTTTGAGAAGTTAACCACAATTTATGTATGTGGAAACTTTTTGAAATACATCTGGTTCAATAAAAACAATTCAAGTACAATTGAGAGGTAAATGTCTGTTTAATGGTTTAGAAAATTTTAATATACTGGGAATTAAACCCACAACGAGTCAGAGATAAACCAAAAACCAAATTATGCCCTGATTCATCAGGCCACTTTTTGCTCTCATTTATATAAGCTCAAATCAGCACATGCGTGTATATACATACACTGCCGTCAGCAATTTACACTTTTACATAATTTACAATACCAGCAGACCACGAGATATCCACCTTGGGTGTTGGCAGTCCTGGGCCAGACTTCGGTCTCGTCCATCCAAGTTGGGCTCAGGGGCAATCAACAGCTAGGTCATTTCCCCCAACATAATCAGTTCCTAAGTTCAAACCTACTCACCCTTAAACAGATTCTTTTCTATTAAATACAAACCATTCACTCAATTAGGGTATTTCATATTCCTCCATCAGCTACAATACTACACATTCACACCAATAAATACATCCACTCTCAACAAACGTTAGGTAAACAAAACTATGAGTGCTGAATACAATAAAACAATATCCTTTAAACATAGGAACAGGACAATGCTTTAGATTGAGCCTATCCTAAAGGGTCCACAGCGAACTCCAAGAAAAATTAATAATTACAAAAATAAAAGTAGAATGAATGAATACAATTAAAAAACTAATAACAATGACTATTGAAATCGAAAGTTTTTTGTTTTTACTTATTCATTCTATATTTATGTTGGCACACACAAGCAAAATAACTAAGGTAAGTTAGACGCCAGTGGAACTTGTCTATCTAAAAAGCGTTGTCATTTTAGAGTACATACCCAGAACTCCAGGAGAAACACTGATTTTTTCATCAGGAAGCACACTGAACCGGCTGCTTCACAAACCTTCATTAAAACTCATACAAAACTTTAACGAAAACTCACTAAAAGTGTCTTACTTGATAAGTTATCAAGTAGCACAGGAAGGGCAAATTAATACCATCGCTGAAACCCTCATAAAAGTTGTGTTAATGATATTGTATCTTGCATGCTTGATGAAAAAGCAGGAACACTTATATGTTCTGTACCATTTCAAACAATACCGTAAAGATGGATACTTGATTCATCAAATAATGTGAAAGAATTGCTGGTCTCTCGCTTCCAACACAATTTATTTTCTATCCAAAATAACGAATCAACTGACTTAGCGAGGTTGGCTTTATTGGCTTTTGTCCATTATAAATACTCGGGATATTTCGAGGAGGATCTTCTCTTGTGCAAATCACTTCCTGCCAATACAACAGATGCCGAAATATTCCATTTGTTGGACGATATTTTTACAACTAACAAAATTGCATGGTCTAATTTCATTGAGGTATGCACTGATGGTGCAAAAGCTATGGCTGGCCAAATGATCAGAATGATTACTAAAATAAAAGATTAATCAAAGGATTTCAGCAGCAGTCATTGTATTTTCCACAGCCATGCTTTAGCTATGAAACAATTGCCAGCCTCTTTAAAAAATGTTTTGGATGAGTCTGTTCAAATTATTAATTATATCAAGTCATGGCCATTGAAGTCAAGATTTTTCACAACTATGTGACAATGTGAGAAGTCTTCGTCATTCTCTGCTTCTCCATAGAGAAGTGAGGTGGCTGTCCTGTGGAAAAACACTTTCATGGTTACAGGAATTATGTTCTGAAGTTGAATCTTTGTTGATGGACCGCAATGTCAAATTGGCCACTTTTGATGATGAGAAATGGCAAAGTATACTGTCGTATTTATCAGATATTTTCAAGAAAATGTAGAAAAGAGAAGGAAGAGGAATCCTTCTCATTTTTACAATTTCTTGAAAATATCTGATAAATACGACAGACAGACAAAGAAAATAAACTGGAGCTTGCAAAATATGTGAACACCTTCAAAATTGGGAAATGTCCTTTGAGCACTACTTCCCAACTGATCGAGATATAATGCTGCAAGACCATGAATGGGTGGTCAAACCATTTTCAAATTCGACAAAGCCAGCAAGTCTATCTTCAAGTGAATACGAATGTTTGATAGACATTATTTTTGATTTCACATTGAAATCTACCTTGAAATTTACTCGCACGTTGAAAAATCAAAACATGTTCTTCTTCCATTTGCCATATCATACCTACGTGAATCCCGATTTTTTACCTATACAGCCACAAAAACTACATACTGAAGCTGTTTAGATGCTGAACATTTTCTATTAAATTAAATAAAGTTGAGTACGTCAATCTAATTTTTGTTTTCATAGTGATATTCTTCTTCATCACTCACTTAGGAATGGACACCATAATTTATAAAACTTAAATTTACTACATAAAATAAATATCTAAATTTAAATACTTGAATGAGAGGGGTCTGCCCTGGATTTTGTTCTGTGAAAGGAGTTTGGCGGCTAAAAAGTTTAGGAAGCCCTGCTTTAGATACTTATGAGCTTCTCTGCCGATCTGGCTCACCAATGCTGTTGCTTTCTTTTTAATTACTTTTTTGTTGCATGTTTAGCATAAAGCTGGGTCCACACCTATAAAAATTTACACTGAATATGACACACAAATTAAATTTCTGTGCATGGAAATTTCTGTGACTGTGGAAATATATGCAAGAATTTAACCAGTTTATGGGTTGAATCCACACACTTTTCCACCTAGTCGGTTTTTTGGCGATCATCAAAGGATGTGTGCCGCATAAAGGCTCTCAATGTGGACTTTTTTGCTACATGAATGATTGTCTGCCAGTCTGCCTACATTGCATAAGTGAGAGTTCTGTAGCTAATTAACAAGCCCAGAGTTGTTATGTCCTTCGAAATGACTGATTTAAAAACAAAGTGTGCAGCTTTCATTGTGGTCCATGGTGGTTATGTCCAGAGGTTGGGACGTCTCTGCCGGCCTTAGCTGTCTTGTCCTACTTTTTTTCTGTTGTAGAGTAGCAAATGCAGTTGTTATTTATCAGAAAAATTGCACTTTATCTAGTGTATTTGAACATGATTTTCTTTACATGCTTTATCTTGTGTGCATAATTTTGATATTGTTTCGACTTAGATGAAGAGACTTTTCATTAATAAGTAAATTAAGTAAAAAGGGAATGAAAGAAGAAAGTGGTTTTATTGGCGAGCTTCTGGTGATTACATTACTAACTTAAGTGCTTTGTGAACTCGACAATAAATTTCTTTATTACTACTGATCTACTCAATAATTTATAATAAAAACTAAGTATTATTCCTCTTGAGTAGAAATATGAACAATATAATGCTATAAGAACAGCACCACACTTATATTAGTATGAAATACTTGGTTCAAAATTTATATTTACATCTTAAATTGCATTTTTTCCAATCAACATATGTTTTATAATTTACCCAGGCCCTGAAGATGACCCGAATAAAGGTCGAAATATCGGCAAAAAATAATGAAAAAGGTGTTTTTCTAAACTACCTCATTTTTCTCCCTTCCTCAAGACTTCAATAAATTAAAATAAGTATTATTAATCGTATGTTCATTTATATTTTTTACCTATTGTTATTTTAAAACTTAACATTTAATTATTACATATCCAAGTAAACAAATAAACATCAACAAATTTTTGAAGTTTCAGTCTGTTCAAAATAAAAAAATTAATTATTATATAAAACAATGAAATGAAAAATAAAAATTCACATGATTACCTGAAATAATCCAATGCCATAACCTAGAAGAGAGTTTAAATGACTGATCTCAGTGAGAAGTACTTTAAGTTTCCTACATTCAAATTCTTCATTTGCAAATGCTTTAATTGTACGGATTGTAGTCAATGTTTCTTCAAACATTGATGCTACTTTCATCGCCTAAGTACAAACAATTAAACAATTAAATAATTGTTAGAAAAATTGAAACAATTAGTAATAAGTTTTTTACAGCAACCTCTTTCTGAGCTTTCTTTGACATAGAGCGAAGAAGACTCCCACATGCAGTGCCAACGCTAATTATAACAGGAACAACTCCGACTATTGCCAATGTCATCTTTGGCGATATTATATATAGCGAAACAATGCACCCAGCAATCTATTGTATATTAACTGTACATTAGTGGATTGCAAGTAATAAAGTAGTATTTAAAGGTATACCTGAGTGATGCTTCTTAGACCTTGAGAGATGCAGAGTTTAAATGCGCTTTTGAATTCTTGGACATCACTTGTCAAGCTAGAAAATCAAGATTATTATAGTAGAAGGACTGTTATTTTAGTTGTACCTAGATAATAAAATAGATGATAAATAAAATAATGCAGATGATAAAAAAATTGTTCAAATCACTGTTTTGATAAATTTTAGAGGTGTTTGCCTCTAATACCAATTACTTTAGTTTTGGACCCAATTATTTAAGATTTGATGTCAATTAATATCGTACCATACAATATAGCACTGTACAGACGGAGTACTGAACCATTGCTGGATTTGTCGCTCTGGGTTTCAATAACGTTCTTTGAAATTTTCTTGAGAATTTTTTTAAAAAATAGTATTGTAAAACCCACTTGTGTGCATGGTGGGTGTGTGCAGTTTTTTTTTTCTTCGGTTTTTTAAAATTTAAAACTTCACCCATACAAAGATGAATTTATTACCTGCTTGCCGCATTAGCTCTGTGGTGGGAAAAGCCCTATTGAAAAAGATTGTTAAGAAAGGGATAACTGATCCCAAAAGTCAGTCTACAATAAACTGGGATGCGTATGAGATGGAAGCAGATAAAATTCATTTGAGGCATTGCTTACTAGACAAGTTCGATTCAGGCATCAGCAGCGAATACCTATCAAAATTTTTGTGGAATTTACAGTAATAATGTAGTAACTGAACATGTGAGTCAACTATGGTTCCAACATTTTCGTAATGGAGAAAGACAAATCAAAAGACAAGTCTAGTTGTGGAATGGGAGCTTAAAAGCAACAACTTAATATTGGCATTGGAGGATGAGGAGAAATTAACTTATTTGGCGGATGAGAAGTGAGTCCTTTACAAAAGTGTTAAACAGCGAAGAACTGTTTATAATAAAAATAAAATGCCACTGTCAACATAAAGAACAGGATTGCACCTTCTTAAAGTTCTATTGTCTATATTTAATGGGATATTCAAGGAATAATTTATTAGTAAATGTTATCATGCAACCAAACCCTTATGGCAGAGGTATAGGGGCAGTGTTGAAGGAAAATCCAGCCACCTGCGCTAGGCTAGCAACCACCCTGTAATACTCTCCAGACCTCGCCCCTCCTGATTTTTATTTGCTCTTCTTCCTTGACAACCACTTAAAAGGTAGGGGAATTTTTGAATGAAAATGCTCTGAAAATCAGATTTACAGATTTCTTCTCATCTAAGTCAGACTTTTACAAAAAGGGGTTATTTCTTCTACCAGAACATACACGGTGTCATAGAAAATGAAGTTAATTATGGATTAAAAATAAAATACATTTATATTTTTAAAGTTTGATTTTTTTTTCTGAAAACTGAAAAAAACATGCACACACGCAATACAATAAAAGAAAGTATGTTTCTTAGTTAAAACTAAATTTATGCAAACTCTTACCAATCTATAATTACTCCACTACGGATGGTGTCAAAGAAAGCAACATCCTGTTTTATGAGTGAGCTATAAAGTTTGAACTTCATTTTTGCAGCTAAGACTTCTCCTACGCTAGATAGAACTGAAATATACACAAATGTTCCGAACGCCTAAAAAGAACTTTATTTAGAAAGCGTTGGTAAGGTCTTTGTGTCAAAAAATGAGATTTACCTGTAATATATACAGTATGACAAGTTTGAACATCGGAACCTTTAAATTTTGGGCTAATGAAAAGTTTTTATCATTTTGTTTTATTAATTCAGCTATAACGTTTATTACATCGCCAAGGCGCAATGGAATCTGTACATTGAGAAATGCAACAGCTAAAGCAGCCTAAAAAAGAAATTGAATACTTTTTACTGTTTCCTTCTCTTTTAAACAGTAATTATGACAAAAGTAAGACATTTATAGTGGCATTTACATTATTTTAACTTGTGTTTTGTTTGTTTTTTACTATCTGTATATTTGCCAGGTAAAAATACAGAAAATTTCTAGCTCGATTTATTCTTAAATTAAATCTAAGATGGTAATGATAAAAGAACATATATTAAACCATTAAGCATACTTCAAATGAAAATATATTCTAACATATGCTTGAAAGGTGTCATTCTTTGGCTCCATATAGAGAGCCTGCCAATTTGAGAATTGTGGTTGAACGCAGCGGTGAGTTTTTGGATTCCTTGTTCCGATTCTCGGAGGAAGGGTCATTTTATTGTATGTATATAATATTGATATTTTTGTGACCACCTAGTATGTGTTGAGAGTGAATGTATTTATTAGATAGATAGATGGTTTTATGTGACATAACATTTGTTATACAGATCACAAGGCTTAGAGTAGGTGTTTGCCTCAATTACCTTCCAACATATTTAACAAATTGTCTATACAATCATATTTAAAATATAACAATACAACATATAACATTCTTTACAAGAACAGCATAAAAAAATCAAACACTTATGATGGAAACACTTAATAACAAAAAATATCTTATATTACATACTTTAAAAACTCAATCTTTTCATACTCGGCAATTGTGTACAGAGGTTGTAAACTAACAGCTCTTTTAAAATTTGTATGAACTTTTTCTTTGCCATGTTTTAACCACCTTGTCAAGTTTATTATACATTTTTAGTCTTCTAATGTAAGGACTGTTTGATACCTTTTTTTTTTTTACATAAGGCCACTAGTAGGTCAGTGCTGTCTTGCATCCTTGTCTGTGACCTCTGCAACCTTTGGAAGACTTTATGTTTTGCTTAACGCTTTTTAACGTACAAATACAGAGCTGGGATAGTCATTACACCCAGTTTCTTGAACAAAGGTTTGTAATGATCTCTTTTTTTGCTTGTGACTAATGCTCCTCAATGCTCTGTTTTGTATTATAAACACTTTTTCTGCATACGATCCTTTTGTCCATACCGATACACCATACATTAAGATTCCCAGAAATAAACTTATATAAACTTTCCTTAGTGCATTGATGTCAATAATGTCTCCCAATTTATAGAGAACATAACAAACTTTTGATAGTTTTTTTACATAAAATATAAATTTGTTCATGCCATTTCAAAGAACTGTCAAGTGTAAATCCAAGGAAATGTACGGTTGTATTACCTGATTTTGTTACTGCAAAACCACTTAACTAATTTTTTTGTGCATCCAAAACCAATAGATTTTCATAGATATATAAATAATCATAACACTCTCTAACAGAAAAATTTAACACACCACTCAATTTATTTAGTTTAAAATTAAATCCATTATCATTCACATTAGTTACAGGTAATTGGACCTATCATAGTCAAAATACAGTAAAGCTTTGTTTACTTCCTTTATTTACTTTTATACAGATTAATCTTTCACACTAGAAGGACAGGACAGGGTCGACCTAGGTATATAGACGAGAGAGATGATAGATTATCAAGTTCTACAAAACTGCAGTATTACTGGATATGAGATAAGAAATCTGATGAGACAAGTTCAAAATGTTTAAATTTCCTTCTAAAACTGTAAGAAGGCCCAACCAAAATAACCTCAGGGCCCGGCACCCGGCTCGTGGACCTCTTCTTACTACAGCTCAGAAAATGGCCAGGCATTGGAAGATTGAGGAAGAGTTCTCTTTACAGATGAGGTGAGAATTGGCCTCAAATCTTCAAATGGGCATAATTTCATATGGTGACATGCAGAAGAAAAGTACACCCCACATTTTATGATCCCTCAGGTGGCATTCCACGGTGGGTGATTGGTGTTCTGGGGTGGTATTTCCTTGGACGCCCGCACTGAAGTGGCTGTGCTCTAACTTAACAGAAGTACTTACAAAGACATAATGAAACAACATGTCCCTTTGTTCTCCCACATCAGTGTGTGATTCTTGCCAATGCAGGATAATACCAGGCTCCATAGAACATGTATTGTGGGTGACTTGATTAAGGTTGGAATCGAGTGCTGTGGCCAGATCAATCAAACACATTTGAGACCTACTCAAGCAGAGTGTGATGGTGAAATCCAGGTCATAACCCACTAGAAGAGTTGGAAACGGCAGTTCTTGATGTATGGGAAAGAATTCCTCAGGATTTTATCAGAAATCTTTTCCAAGGAATGCAAAGGTGTTTAATGGACGTGATTTGTGCAAAGGTGGAAATGTATTAAAGGGGGCAACAATTTTTTTTTACATTTCTATTTGTTTTGGTATTTTCTGATTTTTTTCTCCATTACTCAATTTTAAAAAATTTTTTTTAGATGTAGGTAATAAACATTTTCTTTTTAAATGTCTTGTTTTTACAACCCAACCTATTTTTGGTATCTAAAATATGAATAAACCTAAATACATAAAAACTTAAGGGTGGTGCGTTAATTTTGTCCATCAGTGTATTTTTAAAATAGGACGTTTCCGAGTTACTCAAAAGGCTTGAGACATCAGCCAATTGAAATATTACTAAATTACTGCACATTTCCTTTATAAAATGGTAAATAACATTAATATATAGAATTTAAAAAAATAACCCAAGTATTGATCCTTAGGGAACACCACATCTCTGACTGGATTTTGTATTATTTGATGTCACTTGCGTCCAACCTTTTTAAAGCTTGAGCAAAGCTTAACACATTTCCTCTCATTCCAAGATGTTCTAATTTCCTTAGTAATATTTCATGATAATTGTGTCAAAGTCTTTGATTAGATCAAATAAGATCATATTAGCAGGTTTTTTATCTTCAAAGCCTTGATATATTATTTTTTTAACAAATCACTTATCAACACCTTTCTGATATTAATATTGAGAGGGAGACAACACTTTATTCTTCACTAAGTAAGCCCACAACCTATTCTAGAAAGCTATTTCAAAAATTTCGGACAAAACTGTTCTTGTGTGTTATTGCTGTTGGGAAAAAACGACGTTATTTCTATCCTATTTTTTTAAAAAATTGTGTGTCTGTACACTTTTAAACTTTCTGAGAATTTGCCTTGGCAAAAATCCAGATTAATTAGATGGAAAATTGGTTTGCTGTCCATTTCACCTATTTCCTTTAAGAGGGTTGCCAAAATTCCATAAAGTTCCGTTGCATTAGATGGTTTTGTTGAGCTTATAATCTCCAGTACTTCACCTATGTGACTGGTGAAAGAAAAATACTACCTGTTACTATTAGTGCCATGATTAAATAATCTGAACAATTCAATTAATTAAGGTTTTAGGTTGAGATAAAAAAGTCAGCGTCACGAGCGGGATTCGAATGCATCACCTTCGGCTTGATACGCCACTGCTCTACCACTTGAGCTATCGTGACTTCGATCCACTCGGGCACTAACTTCCCATCTCAACCCCACCTTCGAATTTTCCCTCCTTTTTGCCATTTTTTATCTCAACCAAAACCTTAATTATTTGAATTGTATTAATTGGCCAAGTGGACCACGAAAGATAGTGAATCTTAACTATCTTTCACAGCTTAGGATATGTTTTAACAATGCGTGGGTCATTTTTACAAAGTAATTATTGGGAGTATCTGTTCTATACTATTTTCCTCATCTAAACTTGGTTTATTTGTTTCCTTTTTTTACAATATTCCAGCAAGCTGTATTTAAGTTGGGTTCAATGTATGCGTTGTTCTTTTGGTTACTTACCATTTTCTTTATACTGCTTTCTGGCAATTGTATATCACTATTGAAGTGTACATTGTTCAGATCACATCAAAGAGGTGGTTCCTAGCTTTTATTATTTCTTTGTTAGTTGCATCGTTAGTGACATCCTTTATTTTCCTGGTACCCATTTTTCTTCTTTGAAGAGGAAACAAGTGATTAAGGAAAGAGGACTATATACCGGTCACTGGCGTCTGAGAATACATCTACATAACATGTGTATACTCAATGATGACCCCATTTGTAGGTTACGCAATGAGGAGGAAGAAACTGTACACCCAAACTGTTGTATACTTTGTACATATAGATGTAGATGTAATGTTCAGGGTGTGCAATATACTGTGCCATTTCAGAGCTATTGTATCCCCTGTTATTTATCTAGAGCACGCTGGTCCTAGTTCATAAAGAAACTTGATTAGTAGGCCCAGTTCAGTGGTTGAATTTCTTCTACTGTTATGCTGTACATCACAAAACACTTCATCCTGCTGGCAAATGTGGTCTGCTAGTCTAGATGTGGTGGTTCTCTTGCAGAATCCGCAAGTGCTGTGTTGGGTTGTAGCAATCTTCTTTACATGCCCATTCAGTCTGCAGTATCCTGTTAAGAATCCTGTCAAGATTTGAAGTGTTTTCTTACTTCCTTTGTTTCTTTCCTTCCAAAATTTGCTAGAAGGTTCTTGGATTGTTTGTTACATACTTTGGTGCATACATTACAATGTCAAATGGACACAAATATAAATAATTCCGGCTTCATTATTCTAAATCTGTACTTACTGAAATGGCTATCAGTATGTTTAGCAGATCTTCCAGGAGTAATCTTGCGATTGTCTTCCAATTGAGATAAGTATCTTCTTCCTTATAAATTACAGGATTTGCACGACTTTCACAATATGCTACATTCCTAAACAACAGCAGTTTCATGCTGCATCCAATACCCAAGAGCGTACATGATTTAATCACCGGAACTTTGATATCTGTGGGTCTTTTGAAGACCCAGCCTTTGAGCTTTTTTGTGACATTCTGTGTGTCACGTTTTATCGTTACTTCGACAGGTGACAGAAAATGTTTATAATAGCTAAACAGACAAGCAAAAATTAATAAAACTACTTCATATTTCTAACGTACAACATTATTTGACTTACAAAGTACAATTTTTGGAAATGTTTATATAAGCTCTGAACATGTTGAAAGGCAGTTTCTTCCCTTCATATATAAAGTAATTAACAATTATTTATTGGTACAAACGTGGCTTAAATTAAAACAAACAAACCAACTAGAAAAAACACAAAATTATAAAGCATGCACTTTGGGAGTTTATTAGCCGGTTATTTTGATAGCATCGCCTTGTGGACTCAATGATAAATCCAAAGAAAAAAATATTCTATTTTTCAGTTTAAAGCACCAAGCACTTTTTGCTCAAAACAAAAGTCAATAATAAATATTTTTGTTAATTTTGAGCATTATCCTTAGACATTAGTACCTAAAATCTGTGACTGACATACATGCCAGAATACATTTTTTTAATCCGACCTCTTAAACAGAAGGGTAGCAATATTAACTAATTTTTATATTTAAAATGACATGTGAGCTTGTAATGACAACACATTGTGAAAACAAGTAGATAGAATATTTTCTAATGCTTTCTCTATGATTCATTCTCTCCAATCTCACTCATCTGGAGTGACATTCTGGCTTCACTCTCTTCATTCTTCAATCTTTCATTCTCTAGCATTGCGATTTGATGATTATGATGATGAATATTTTTTTTGTTCCACAAGCATTGTAGCCTACTTGGTTTGTACTTTTATAATTCCTTAGTTTGGTGCAATCGTCTTGATTCTTCTCCTAAGAAGTACTAGGTGTCTGTCGTTGCTATAATTCCTTTCCCTGGGTTTTCTTCGTATCCCAGGCTATGTCTCCATTGAGCGGCTGTTTTGTCTTCCTCATTGCATAACCTGCAAATTGGGTCATCTTTGAATGGATGGAATTCATGGTATCATGGATAGTATATGGATGGAACCATCAGGTTGCTGTCTATCCCCAGATTTTGGAGTTTTGGGATGCATTCACTGACTCATATTTTAATAGCTGCTTGGCTATTTGATCTTACGAGATTTTTGTTGTTGTAAATATAACTTATTTTAACATTTTCTAAGGCACATTGATGGCATGTATTTCAACTTGAAAGACTGAAGGGTACTTCTCTAATGAATTTGATTGCTCATATTTTGAGTTGTCAGAAAACAATTGTTTGGAGTTATCTTTATACAATATAATCATCATATATGATTTCCTCCCGAATTCTCATGTTTTCAAAACCCATAATTCATGCATGCTTATTGTATGAGTGAATTTAAGCTTGGTATTAGGCCAGGTGAGGCATGTCGTAAAAGTTTTACTAGATTCGGTGATGAAACAATTAGTGAGCACACTGCCCAAAAGTGGTTCAAAAAGTTTTCTTTTGGGACTGAGGGGATTGAAGATGAACCATGGATGACGTTCTGGCGTGAATGATGACAAATTGAGAAAAGCTATCGAACTTGATTCGAGTCAAACATGGAAGGAGCTTGCCAGAGGGTTCAACATAAGCGATGAAACCACTCGCTCTTGCTTACATCCACTTGGGAAGGCATGGCACTCTGAGCAAATGGGTTCTTTGCCTTTATAAAATGACCGATGATAACAAGCTTCAGCATCTAAGCCTTTCATTGCTTGCATGTATAAAGTTGAAATTTTTTTACTGGATTGTCAAAAAAAAAAAAAAAAAATCCTGTACAATAATAACATTGGCTGTCACTGAATGACCCTTTCCCATTGACGCAAGTGCCAATTGACCAACAAAAGGTGATGGCAGGCATTATGCTCTACGAACTCCTGCTACCTGTCAGACCATCATCGCAGCTACTCAAACCAACTGCAATGAGTTTTTCTTGCCCTGGCCCAGAAACAACCTGCTCTTGTAAACAAGGTGTGATCATTTTTCACCAGGACAATGTGATACTTCATACAGCCAGAACGACAAAGGAGGTGATAATGAAGCTTAGTTGGGAAGTTCTACAGCACCATCCGTACTCTCCAAATCTAGCCCCATCTGACGTTTACCTCTTCTTAACAATGGACAATACGGCACCATCAGGAGTTTGATAATTTTTGACAGCTGGAAAATGAGCTGAATATATTTTTTAAGAACCAAACTTTTATAAGGACATGATTGGGCTACCAAAGCACACTGTAATTTGTGTGTGTGTGTGTGTGTGACATTGGTTGTTTTTGTAATGAAGTCTTTAATTTGTATACATATTGAGTGATGGTGGAATGTCAAGTACTTAAACACTACTTAAAAATAATGAAGTTAAATGACCTACTAGGTGCAATTTTGCCAGGCTGGAAGACTGGACCGATAAGAAGTAAAGTGGAAATAAAACACTAGACATCTCAACAAATAATTTTTGTTTTTTACCTTTGCTTTTTTTCTCACGGTTTTAATTCTATAAATTAAACATTTTAATAAGTTTTATCACATTTTATTCCAAATATAGTTAAAAATAATGTGTTTTAGAGTATGTATATAAATGACATTAAACAATTATAAAATTATATTTAAAAAACAAGACAGATACTTTATGATAATATTGACTGCTACACATTTATGAACAGTGATATGTCGTCAAGTTTTCTATATAAAGCTACAAAAATTAATGAACACACTGACTAACTGTTTACATAACCTAAATCTCCTGTGTCGCAATTTTTAAGGCTTTTGTAAGAGAAAAAATGATTACAATTAAAATGTTAAGATAAAAATTGTATTAAAACTAAGATAATACAAAACATTTCATATAAATTTTACATATTTAAACAGATTCTTGTTTCAATTCTAGTGCCCAAACGTGTTGAGGCCATCCAGTTCTTCCTTTACTTTTCTTCATATCCTCTCTGTTTCCCTGAAAAAATTAAAAAGTAGATGTTATTTTAAAATTAAATGGATGTATATTCATTTGATCTACATCAATTTTATACAATTTACAAATATTTTATATTTTAAACAGTCATTTTGTTTTCAACACAGAATGCATTATTATATCTAAGTTCAAATATTATTTTTAAACATTGGTGCTTCACACATTCATGAAGTTTAGAAATAAACGTGAATCCGTAACAGTGGAAATTTTGTAATTGTATATTGCATGTACATACATACACACATGTACAGAGTTGAACTATCATCTCTCACAGTCCACCAACAATTTCAGCTTTTGTACTTTACAATGAATTATCAGTGGACCTCAAGAATCACCCATCCCGGGGTGTTGGCAGTCCAAGGTCAGACCTCGGTCTTGTCCGACCAGCCATTGAGGGATAAATGCAATAACAGCTATGTAGATAATTTCAGCCCCCAATGCAGTCAGTTCCTAAATTCCTTCACCCTCTCAATCACTCTTAAATACATTCTTTCTGATTTACATACCACTCACTCAGAGTGGTGGAGGGTCTACTTAATTCCTAATTGATGGTAAATGGGGTACTCAATAGTCCATCATTGGCCTTCTCACACTACATATTCACGCCAATAAATACATTCACTCTCAATACATGCTAGGGGCACAAAACTAACATTACTATATACAATAAAACAACCCTGTTCCCTCCAAATATCGGAAAAGGATAATCAGATATTTGCTGCCATGCTCAAGTACAATTCTCATATTTGATGGCTTCCTACGCACTCTCTAAATGGAGTCAAGGTATGGCACCCTACATGTATATAGGACACATCTACCTTTCCCTATATTTCAGACACATGGCTCAAAAATAAGAGTCCGTGTGTCAACCTCGCATGGCCTATTCTTAATTAGGTGAAGATGACCCTTCTTCCACAGGTCAGGTCTTCTGAGGGTCACCTATCAACAATGCTCTTGAGACGTGAAAGCTTCTCTACTGATCTGGTCCATTAACGCTACAACTTTCTTTTAATCATGTGTTTTATTGCATTTTTAGCATCTGAGGGCTGATCGCACTGGTCTGGAGGTTGAGATGTTCCAGCCTTAGCTGCCTTGCCAGACTTTTCGTTACCCTCCGGTACTATGTGTCTGGATACCCTTACAACACCCACCATTTTGCTGAGATGCTCCATCTCGTGATATCTCTCTAACAAGAGCACAAAGAGAGAAGTGCATGTTAAATCACAACCAATTCCGCCAAGTAAAAATTGCAGTGGGAGTGACATGAAATGGATTTGTGGTATTTAATGACCATTAATATATGATTATTACTGATTTCTGATGTTTTAAAGTTTAATTTCAAGTAATATTGTTTGAATTATCTTATTGCATGCACACATACAATGTATAAATTATATAATATTTAGAACATTTTTAAAAATTATTCATACAAAGAATCTAACATGGTTGTTTTTCTTTCTGAGCAATGCCAAGTCTGCTTTGAAACCATCACCGCTATCTTCATTTTCTAGCACACCCATGAGATAACTGATATATGAAATGGCCAAGCGCAATGTCTTTATTTTAGAGAGCTTTGTGTCTGCCGGTACCGCTGGTATGCAATCCCTCAAATCTGCGAATGCGTTATTGATCGATTGGGTTCTTCTCCGTTCTTTCCTATTGGCGGTGTTTCTTCTCTTGACAACCCTTACAACGGGATGCGGGTCGTCGGGATCTTCTTCATCGCAGTATGTCAGTATACTGTCATCGATATAACTGAAATTGCCATCATCCTTCCAAGAAAAATCTTCGGCTCTCCCTGCAACAAAAACATAATAGTTGAAAACATTTATTTTGGAATATTGTGTCAAGATCTTTGAGGTAGTGAATTTGAAGCTTGATCATTTCTGATAACCATAGTTAGCATATTTTTGCTGGCTTTGTCTGTCAGAAGTGTTTCATAAATTAGTTCATTGCTGATTATGTTATTTAATGTCAGCCCAGTAGTGCTAGCAAAGTAACACATAGTTTATTAAAATTATTCTGTAAGTAATGTGCATTTCCATTAGTGTTTTACTTTGATATTTTCATTTATACACAAAACTTTATTTTATTTACCTTTAAATGAAAAGCCACCCATGCATATCTAAATCTAAACCAATAAAAATAGTGTCGTCTTCTCTGATCATCCTGAATTGCCTGTTCTTGCTGATTTGGACTGACATATGCGATATTTTAAAAGATAATGGTGAGAAATTTTAATTTTAGCAATTTGAAAATGTTTGACAAATTGATAGGAGACATTATTAAATCACCCTTGTTCAGCTCAGAACAATCTCAAATATTCAAAAATCAGACCTACCTCTGTACACAAAACATATGAATATTTCTTGGCAGATTTAAAATGAAATGGGGGAACTTATTGAAACTATAAACCTAAGAAAATATTTGCTCAATGTGTAATTATAAATTGGGAGAAAATATGTTTTATTTTATAGCTGTTTGTTCATTTCATGAAAAGAATTTGATAAATGTAGTAAATAGGAATATTTCCTATATATAGGAATATTTATATTTTTTAAAATAATTTTGTTGGAGAATATTGGTACGTAGTAATGTGGCCCCCTGCCCACCATAGATGGCCCTGGGAGGATCTGACTCTAGAAGAGGGGGTCATCCTCACCCAATTAAGAATAGGCCTTGCAAGGATGACACACAGCGTTTTCTTTTGGGTTCAAGCTTATGTGTCCACTGTCCGGCATGCAAAGAAAGGTCGATGTGTCCCATATCATTGAAAGGTGCCTTTCCTTGGCTCCATGTAGAGGGTGCATAGGAATGCCACCTGATATGTGAATGCTTGAGCATGACAGCGAGTATCTGGACCCCTGTTCCAATTGTATATAGTACTGATAGTTTTGTATATGATGTGAGTTGAGAGTGAATGTATTTATTGGCATGAATGTGTAGTGTGAGAGGGACAAGATCAAGATCCGATCGGCAACTGCCATTACCAGGGTGGGTGATTCAAGTAGTATGCAGGTAATTTATTGTAAATAACAAAAGGTGGAAATGCCATTGGGCCGTGAGAAGTGATAGGCTCAAATCCGTACATACGTGTATGTACATACATGTGCAGATTTGAACTTATATAAATCAGTAAAAACATTGTTAATATTGTTTAAATAAGTCTTAAATAAGTCTCTTATCTCTCTCTCTCTCTCTCTCTCTCTCTCTCTCTCTCTCTCTCGTCCTTGTTCTTGTTTTATTAGAGCATTAATATAATAATATTATAATGGAGCATAATTAATAGAGAAAAATGAATTTGGGGTTCTTTGGGCCGAATTCTAAGGGTGAATTATACTATGCTGGGCTCTCTTTGCTTTTCAGGTTGTGATGCATGCTGCTAAGTTTGAACGGTATTCCATGGATGGAGCAGCAACGTGAGTATGAGGTGTGTACTATATGTATTCAAAAAGTGAGTGAGGCCATGTTTAACTTTCTCGCTGTATGCCCTGCATTCTCACACTTATGGCTAAATACTTTGGTAGAGATATGCTTTGCGGCGAGACGGTTGTATGCATGTCGTTGTCCCATGACTGCCTTCCTATCCTTACATTTGCTCACAGAGCCCTCATATTTAGAAGCAACCACATATTTAAATATTAATAAAAAAAAGAAAAATAAATAAATTAATTAAAAATGCAATAATAATAATCTTTCGAGTGATTTAAAGGAGTTACTGGGTCCCCAGTGTTTGTTTCGAAGAGCACTTTGCAGCTTTCCCAAATTTATTGTAATTTATAATGAGATTTAGGCCTTTTGTCAAATTGACAGACAAACGTCTGCTAATGTTTGAATGAGAGTTGTCCGTGCAAGATTTCTTTCAATTTTTTCTTTTTTGAGGCTGCCGGAGCGGAAAAATGAAATGGAAGAAAATAAATTGCGGGGTAATAAACTGCAATGCCCAAAATCGCAATTTAAATAAGAAAGATAGCTCCCCCCAAAAAAAGAAGTGTTACTGTGTTTCTGTTTCTTATCATTGTTAAGTAGCATTAGTTTATTTATCATATTTGAATGGAAGAATAAAAGGATAACGATGAGCCTATACTCAGGGCGCGCTGAGACTGTTGCTAATTTGTCTCCATTATTATTATTGGCCATACAAGCCTACGGGAAATGTTTAAATTATGGAACAAAAATTCGAAATTCTAATTAAAGAACTGGAATAAATTTTATAATTTAAAATGGGATTTTTGTATACATTTGGCCTTCCAAATTAAGAAGTTTAAAAGGATTAATTAAAGCTTTGGATGGCAATAGGATAGATTAGTTTATGAGTGAATATTTGGAGTCAAAGCTTTATAGCACTCAGAAGGGATATAGCTAACCTAAGATAAAAGTCCACTTGTTTTCATGGTCCGCTTGACCAATTAATATCTTTCAATTAATTAAGGTCTTTAGTTGAAATAAAAAAGTCAGCGTCACGAAAACTAGTGAATTTAATAAGTTAAAATGAAGTATACCATCACTAAAGCTCTCCGTGGCAATTTCATTTGTCGCCAAGAATCAAATAGATTACTCGACATTTTAAAAATGGCAAAAAAGAGGGAAAATTCAAAAGGTGGGGTCGAGATGGGAAGTTATATCTACTGCATATCTAGCCGAAGATCGTGGGTTCGAATCCCGCTCTTGACACTGACTTTTATATCTCAACTAAAAACCTTAATTAATTCTAAGATAAAAGGTTTAAGTTTTAGGGAGTGAAATGACCTTAGCCGTTAAAACGCCCTTAAAAATTAATAATAATAAAATATACCCTTTAAAACAAGTATATACAGCAATGGAATGGAAGTCGAGATTACTGATAAAATATTGAAAAAAGATAATAAAATAGCCAATAAAATATCATAATATTCCCTGTGTTTGATAACATAGAATGAAAAAGCAAAAGAAAAAACTAACCATCCCTAAATGTCATTACTATTTACTGCAAAATAATTGTCTGTATTGTCCTTTAACTTTGATAATTGTTATTATTATTAATATTTACTCTTAGTGAATATTACTCTGGTAGATAGAATTAGCCATGCCACTATACTTTATATATTATTCAGTTTGTATGTGTATATAATAGTTCAAATACAAAACTGATTTCAATTACTAATATCCTGTGTTATACTTGTCTTTTAAAAATGCACTGATGATGGGTGTAAAAACACAAAAAGTCCAAATAAATGTTTAAATAAGTAATGAATTTACTTAAAAAAACCACACATAGTAATTTTTTTAACAAAAATTAAAAAAGACAAATTAATCTTAACCATTTCCATGTTATTAAAAAACCTATCAATTACATGTATTACGTTAAGGAACATGTAGAAATAAATTCCTTGATTCCAGGGTGTGCTGGGTCGAGAAAAAAAGTGATAGGTCACTTGTATACAAATAGAGCACGGGGTTTAGGGCGTTGCCCTGGAGTACGCCACTCTCGATTTCAAACAAATCTTACTTTTTAAAATAATTTTTCTTTTATCATGTGTTAATTTAACGAAAAATAAAAGATAGTTTATCATCTAAATAAATATTTTCCCATATTCAAATTCTATTTAATGTATATTGGCATATAAATGCGTAAAGATGAAACACAAAAGATGGCGAAATGAACGCGTGTCTGAGCCGGCGAAGATAGGCGAACCAGCAGGGCTTCTGGTATATCCATCGCAGACGCAAAACACAACAATAAACCGATTGAATAAAACAAGAATTTGTGTTTTTGTGGTGTAGAAAAGGTTATCTTCACACCGAACATTCAAATTCCACGGAAATGATTAATTCTGTCTACCGTGTCGACGCCAATTTCCTAAACAAAAGGACCGAGGAGTGATTACTCACAAGTACAGTTGTATCAAAATGATCTGTCCAAGTATAACATTTCTTTTATGTCTGATTCAAAACAATCTGAATAGAAGGAAAAAGGGTAAAAAAATCGCCAAATATAGTTAGATTTTAACATTTCTGTCTGATCAACATTATTTTTATTAATAGTCTGTATGTAGCTTGATCGTCTATCGTCCAGGTCTGCCTATTCGGGTTGGTTTTGCCTCTGATACTATGAATCCGAATAAAAAAGCTTTTATAATTTCTTTATATTTATTCAGTGGAAAGAGCCATTGTGCTACTGCGTGTGGCAGTGGCATGAACAATCGGGCTTAACGGGGTTTGAAGTCGGTTATTCCTCTTTAAGTCCCTCTAAGAGGTGAAATCGATTACCGACTACTTGAAGCACTTGAAGCCACATGTGATTGAGACCGGTCTGAGCCCTTAGAGAAATATTTTGTTTCTATACACGGAAAGGTTGACACGCTGTGCTTAGTATGTTACGAACATCGGTGTGAAACGGTCTAGCGAGTGGTAGAGAAGCCTACCAAAGTTCAAAAAGTTTAAATTTTGCCTGAGAAAGCTTGCTGACAATTCAAAAATAATCGATATTCAAAAAACACAATCGTATTATTACAAAAAAACATTAATGACTTGATAAATAAACTATGTATCTACCAAAATAATCCATAACGAATCAAAATCATATTTTTAATTTTTTTCTTTAATTAAACATATAAAGGTATTCAATAAGTTGGGCCGTTTTCTGCCTTGATTTTAGGAGAGGTCGAGTAAAGTCAGCCAATCTTTTTTTTTTTTTTTAATGTACTTACTACTCATCCACTATCTCTCACTCGCTCACTCACTCTCGCTCTTTAACTTTTCTTTTTCTCTTTCACACTTTCATCCACCCACTACCTCTCACTCGCTCAATCACTCTCGCTCTCTATCTTTTCTTTTTCTCTTTCACACTTTCACTCATCCACTACCTCTCACTCGCTCACTCATTCTTTTTCTTCTCACAGACTCAGACACTGTTTCTCTCTCTTTCTTCTTTTTCTCCTCACTCGCTCTTGCTCCTTCTCCTTTCTTTTTCTCTTTACTCACTCACCCTCTCCCCCCCGAAATATTTCATTTGTTTCCTTTAAATTGAATTTTTTTCCAGTTCGGAATACTGGAATGTACGTTGTATCGAATTTCGGATTAGGGAGAGAGCATTGTATTAGTGGCATTGTAATATATTATTCAAATGAATGATTTATATGCAGTTTAGTCGTGTGTCCTCTCGGACAAAGCCCTCAAAAGCGGGGAATCAGTGAGCCTAGGTGATCGTTAACACATAAAATAGCAGGGCGCTATATTAATTTTATGTTTATTATAGACTTCACGAAACGAACAATACTATCATTTTAGTGACGCCCGCTTTTATTTTTTCCCCATTTTTCAAAGACTCGGGCGCCAAGTCACACATTTTTTAAATGTCAACCCCAAAGTTGTATACGTGTTTAGTCTGGGCTGGACGGTTTGTCAGACAAATTTCTTCGACCTATTTGGTACCGTGTCAGGTTGTTTGGTCTCGATGTCGGATTTACTGTAATTACACTTGGCTCCGCTCTAGGAAAAAATATGTCTTCTTCCAAGGGGCTCCCTTCAAAAGGGTGGGATTCTGGGCGAGGTCGAGGAAAAAACTATTGGCCACTTGACCTATTATAAGGAAGGGTCTAGGATGACAGATCCTAGACTCAATATCCAACATTAAAATTGGTTTAACTATTCAATTCCGTTCCATGTCGGCCAACAGTTTTGCATCTTCCACGTCCGCCGCAACATTCGCCGTTAATCATCAAATTCAATCCCTTGTTGATTTTCAATATTCATTTTCTTTTTAATTTATTGAATATTACAACTATCCACATGATGTGGGTAACAAACAACAGAGATTAACAAAACAATAAGGAATAAAAGATCGGAGAAGCTGCACCCATGTTCTTTTAATGTTAGTTTTGAGGAAATCAATAACTTATTTAAATTGAAAATTATTAAAACAAACTTTAAAAAATACAAATTTAAAATGTTATAACTTTTAAAAAATGAAGGTTGTAAACTTATGACAATCAGCACATGGCCGTCGAATAGATAAGGGATTATCTCAAGTCTGCTTTTTTACTTTTGGTGATCGGGATATTCTAATAGGACTCAGACGGTAATAAAGCCAATATTCAGGCTGAATTTCTCATTTTGAATTTCGTTCGGGATTTCAGTGTGTTGTAAGCGGACCGTGAATAAATTATCTACGTGAGGGCTGTACTTCATCCACAAGTACTTATTATCATCAGAGTGGTTGAAATTTTACAAGTTGGGCAAATTGAAGGACAAGAGCGTTGTTCCAAGTTCAAAACTAGCGATCTTCTCCCAATTAAAAATAAATAAGTTAATAAAAAATAAATAAAAATAAAATAGACCGACAGGCAAAAAATTCCACCTAATTGATTTTTTTTCATTTTCTCGATAAAAGAAAATTCTGCCCTTTATTTATCTCATTGTTTTTATCAGTAAATATTTGTTTATGCTATGTTTTAAATTGGGAATATCAATTAGAGGTAAACACACTTAATCCTTAATCCAAAATAAGGATAAAGGATTTTTCAATGGTTACTTTTTATGTAATTTAAAATGTTTGTTCACTCTCATTTGAATTCTGAAGCAATAATCTGTTTAGTTTCATCTTTGTTTTCTTAATTTCAATTTTTAAACTTAAAAATGTCATTTAGTGCTGGGGATGTTGCACATAGTGTGGCGCTTATTGATGATGGACGTTCCATCAGGTATACGGCTACTGCCATCGGAGTGCCTTACGAACTCTGCGAGAAGCTGTAATACGTTTTCGAGAAACTGGGTCCTACCATAGAAGGCCCGGTTCTGGACGACCTAGGGTTACATAACCACAGGATGACCGTTTTTGAATTTGCGAAACCGGCACCTTACTGTTGTTCAAGCGATTCATCAGCTCCAGGTGTCCATTCATCAAGTTTGAGGTGTCCAAATTTCTAGACGCACTGCTCGTAGAAGATTAAATCGCTATGGACTGATGGCTTTTCGCCCCGTAAGAAGACCATTATTGACCATAACACACAGAGTTACACGGCTCCCATTTGCTCGAGAATACAGCCATTGGTCTTTGGACGATTTGTTTGCTGTACATTTTACAGATGAGTGTACATTTGCTCTACGATCTCCAGATGGGCGTGAAATATTGTAGAGAAGGTGAATTAAATGGTACGAAGCTTGTAATTTTTCCCAGAGCCAACCTTTTCAACGTAGCTCAGTGATGATGTGGGTGGAAATTTTAATGGAGAGTAGCACAGAGTTGGTTCGTGGAGGGTCTTTGACGGCCAGTCGATATGTGCATGAAATTTTGGAACATTATGCGACAATCCTATTCTAACGGACGATAATGCCCGTCCACATGTCACCTTCAACAGCATAGCATCAGGGTCTTAGCCTGGCCAGCCCGTTCTCCAGACTCGAACCCGAACATCGAACATTTATGGGATAACTTTAATAGACGAATAAGAGCACGTCCATCACTTCCTGATACAAGCTACGATCTTGAAAGGACTCTTCGTGAAGAATGGGCTAACCTCCAGCAAAGGGACATTTCCAAGCACATGTTAATTATAATCATACATCATAACACAGCAAATGTTAATTAAAATTCTAAAACAAGATTAAAACAAATTGTACCGTCCCTCTTTTTGTTTCATTTTTTTCCTTAGCAATTTACACATTTTTTTAAAACGTTTTTTAGACAAAGACTCAAATATTAAATGTTAAAAAACGTGAATCTTTGATTAATGTATAAAAATATATAAAAATCAAGTTATATTACAAGTGGGTAGAATTTTGTGCCTGTGCATGTATATATATATATGGCCCGAAAAACAGCTGAGGTCATCTTGGTCTTTAAAGTGAAGCCATTTGAGCTCTCGATCTGGTAACTGACTCTCTACATTTATTTATATACTACGTCAGTATCCTATGGCTAGCATTTATAATGCTCGTTTGGACCTCAGGTTGTCAACAACAGAATAGAAATAGAACATACGGTATATATTTATATACATCACCTCCCTATACAAACATAGGGAAGTCTTGTCACATTCGCTCCCCCAGTATACTCGATATTCCTAAGGGCGGAGTTAAACAGCCCCAAAAATAAATAAATCAGAGATGCTGTTTTCTTCATTTATTATATGTAAAGAAATTTATTCTTGAAAAAAATCAGTATTTGGCTAAGAACAAGACTTTAAAAAATGCAATTGTCGAAACAGCAGTGAAACAAATCGTATCAACTGAAACATTTTGTTTATGCTTTCTTGAAAACTAAAATAATAGTATGTCTATAATTTTACACAATTTACAAAAACTACGACTTAAGCATTAAGAGGTTTATCATAAAAGAATCATTGCTGACCTACTCGAAATGCTTATTAATAATTCATTTTGTTATATACTGAGTTCTTCTAAAGTCCTAGATTATAGGTTTCATAATCTTAGAAGAAATGGGGGATTTTTAATATAAAATTTTCACAGGGGTTTTCTCAATTTTGAAAAATGAAAGTTGAGATATCTACAGTTAAAATCACGTTTTTGTTTCTGTTTTTGAGCAACCGGGCATTTTATTACTCAGGGGTGGGTATTCGTTTTGGCCGGTAGAGAGCAATTCAGCAACTTTGAAATTTCGAATCCGCCATTTTGACAACGACGAGTCAAATTTTAGTTCGTTTACACGTGCGTCGTGCGATATCCGCTGTAAAGATTATCTGAAAAACAATGTCTTCTCAGGAGGTCCACACTGTCGAAAACGATCTGCTACCCAGATTCGGAGTTGGCGATAAACTACTCTGCTATCGCGGACCGTGTCTTTTTGAAGCGAAATGCAAAAAGGTTAGATTCAGCGACGACCAGAACACTTACATGTATTTCGTACACTACTGTGGCTGGAATAGACATTGGGACGAGTGGCTGCCGGAAAACAAGATAGTGCAACATAACGAGTTCAATCTTCGCTTGCAGAAGGAGCTGGAGATTGAACACAAGGATACGGGGTTCACTCAAGTCAGGAGGTCGACTCGGACCGAGAATTGGAGAAAAAATGAGCTCGGAGAGGGTACGAGCGGCACGTCTGCAAGAACGAGCAAAAGCTCCGAAGGAGAAAAAACGCAAAAAAATAGCACCGCGGAACCTGGGGAACAGATTTTCAACTTGCCCATTGGTGAAGTCCTCGCCGACCACATTGCAGAAGATTGGGTTAAAATAAATATGGCCAAGAAACTCGTGAAGCTTCCGGCTGAGGTGACCGTAGACAAGATTATCGAATCGTACGTCGCAGAACGCGCCAAGACCCATCAGCGCTTCGACGTGGAGATTTTCCAGGAAACGGCCGAAGGTGTCAAGCGATACTTTAACGTGATGCTCGAAACCCAGATCCTCTACGAATCGGAGTTTCGCCAGTGTGAAAAATTGTTCTCCGACCGCAAGGAAGTTGAGGTAAGCGGCATTTACGGCGGCATACACTTGGTCAGGATGCTTACACGTCTCGGATGGGCGATGAGCTACTTCCCGTGGGGCAGTTCCAGCGTGAAAGTACTCGAAGGATACATAAACGACTTCATACAATACATCTCCTCCGAGGCAGCAAACATATTCCATCCTGACAACTATATTGATGGACCAGAAGAATAATTTTTTTTAAAACCATTTTCATTTTGAAATGAATAAGTATTATTATGTTTTGAATTTTAATAAGATAACATAACATAATTATTAATATGTTTATCATTTTTTTCTCTTAAATTTACTTGCATATTGTAATTATTATTGCGTCACCTTTCTTAATAAATAAATTTGCAATACAAATTTTATCTTTATTAAACAACCTTCATCTTTGTTAAAATACTTTGTTTTTAAATCGTTAGGGGTGGAAAAGTGGTGCTTTTCAATATTGGATCATCTGTTTTGTTGATTTAAGGTCGGACCAATGTCTAAGTATGTATGTTTCTGATTCTTTTTATATTTCATAATAATTGTTTAATGGAACCACTTTCATAATGACAATTTGAGTATCTATATTTTATTTTAACTCTTTTTGAATGAAAATGAAAATTTAGGGCAGATAAAATCAACGTCAGTTTCACAATAACAATTTACATTAAATTTCGTTAATGGTGACACTGGTACTCACTTAACTCAATGTTCAAACCATATTTAGAGGAAAAATGAAATTTTTTTGAGATACTAAAGGGATGATGATAATGATGGAGGCTAGGAGGGGTTTTGCAAGCACTGCAGACTACTGGCTCATTGGACTTTTCTAGTACCCGATAATGGGGTATACCTAGGATTATTATTGAAAGTGCCCATTTTATGTAGATGTTTTCTCAGATGGCAGTGACCAGTACTGCTGTAACTTATCTGAGTTTAGCCCTCTCTAAATGTAGCAGTGAGGGTTGGTTCTAAAGGTAAGTTTTTCCGTAAATAAGTAATTGACTAGTTTTTCAATTAATTTTTGCACTACCGGCGTTTTATCTTGAACGAAAACATCAACAGGCCCTCAGCCGGAAAACAAAAAAAAACAATCAAGGCTTCTCGAGCGTCAACGGGCGTGTTGATTGTAAAGCGAGTTGTCGGCCGTTTGCAGGTCTTTGATCGTCCGCAGTCGTCAGGCGTTAGTGCGGAAACGACAATATCGGTAAGTGTTGTAAGTGTACGGTGTGTATCTGTGTGTTGATCAATATCTGTAAGTTGACAGACGATTGCGGTACTTTGTTGGGGCTATTTTCCGTTTGTCCCGGTCGGTTCGGTTTCTTTTGATGTTTTTCAAAAGATCGTTTGTCGTTATTTCTGTATATTTGTTTTCCTTGTATCTATTTCCTTTTTTGTCCTATCGGTCTTACATTGAATTTAAAGTGGTTATCCTCGGGTTGGGCTTTTGTAGAACGTAGCCATTGTTTATCGTTAAAAAAAAACAGGAACTTCAATTTATGATACAAGTTCCTTTTTTTACTGCAAGATTGGATTATGACTGCCCCCCCCCGTATATTATTATACTATGCGAACATTCAATGATCCTTCAAGTTTTCCACCGGAAAGTTAAAATGAAAATAAGTCTCGTCTCTAAGTTCCTAGAGTTGACTTTTCCAAAGCACAGTCAATTTATGAATCGATATGCACAGGCTAGACCTGGATCGATATTGTAATCAATTCTCTGTTGCTTTTAATAAAGTGTGTGTACGTTTTATGCTTATGTTAACTTCTTGTTTTACGTTAATTAAATAACGTAAATAAACACACATTTGTTGTGAAATGGCGCCTGGGTCATCTCAGATTGAAAACCTAATTTTCTTCGCTATTGCAATGCTATTTCAAAAAGGCTTCAATAATGAAGTTAAATTTTTTTTGTTAATAATTTTTAAAATTAACTTTAAGTTTTGAACGTTTTAAAATCGGCCGCTAAAATCATTAGATATGAATATTATAAAAAATCCATTATAATTATTGGTCTATTGGCCAAATTTCTTCTTTCAATTAATTAATCTTTTCATTTCAACCAAAACCTTACATAAAATATTAATTAATTATCAAAAATGTTTAAGAAAACCTTTCTAAAGTGCTTTTCAAGTTTTAATCAGCTGACAAACCGCTATCTTTGCATAAATCACATGTTGGTTCAAAAGTAATTCATAAATTGTATAAAACCCTTCTGTGAGTGACCATCCGAAGAAATACGGTATGGTGAACAAGATTCAGGAATGAATTATTTTAAAACACCTTTTTTTTCTTTTTTTTCGTCCCTTATTCGGGTCATCATCTGAGTCTGGGTGAATTAAAAAACATACGTTGATTGAAAAAATACAACAGATGTAAACAGTATATAAATTTTGAACCAAGTATTTCATGCTCACATAAATTGTGGTGCTATTCTTGTGGTGTCATCTTTGTTTCGTGTGAAATTTTTGTGAAACGTGAATTTGTATTCTGTTGTTTTTATGTGATTGTAACAGGGTGGGGAAGGCGGTAAATCTTGGAATTTTGTTTTTGATCTCAAAGGAAGTCGAAAAAGGGGATTTGTGATTCGGGGTTTATTCAATGGGAAAAGCTACTAATATTAGAAAGGAAGTTAATTTTTATGGACGACTACGAAGCAAACGGAAATATAATAATAAAATGTAATACTTTATTATGATGTTGGTGTGGCTTCGCCTGAGTTGGCTCCAACGAATGGAGCAACTTTGGAGGATAAAAATCAATGAAAACAAATGCACCCATGTTACATTTACCCTCAGAAGCAAAAACCCCTCAAACAATATTCCTTTCCCCAAAACCAATTGTGTACGCTACCTTGGGTTATCTTCTTGACACAAGCGACGGAAATCTAACATGTCGACTAAAAACAAACTGAAACTCTACAAAACACTACTAAAACCGATTTGGACATATGAACTAGAACTGCTAACCCTACCAGTATCCAACGATATCCTGGAATTAAATACTCAGAACCCATGGGAAAATACACCAGTATCTTCCAAGCTGAGGTCCACGTAATCGAGATTTTTTTTCCCCTACAGACATTCAGTCAATGTCAATAGTGCAATAGAGATGTATTCAATTCAACTTGACTAAAGGGTACAAAAACAAGAACAATTCAGATAGCCAAGCAGCCATCAAAGCGCTAAGCTCAAATATCGTTAGTTCAAAGATTGTTTTGAACTGCAAAACCAAATTAAACATATTAGGTACGCAGAACAAAGTCAGCCTCTGCTGGGTACCAGGACATATGGGAGTAGAAGGCAACGAGAAAGTGGACACCCTTGCAAGAAAATGGGCTGATATACCGCTGACAGGACCAGGACCATTCTGTGGCATAGGAATCCACACTATCCATAAGTACCTCAGACAGAAGGATAAAAAGAAAATGAGGAAACGTCACTCATTGGACACAAACAATCCAAGAACCTCTAACAAATTTCGGAAGGAAAGAAATGATAGAATGTTTTAAAGGAAGCAGGAAAAAAATTTGAAATTCTTAACAGGACACTTCAAACTAAAGATTCTACAGTGAGGCAGAGGAGACACCTACATACCTACTAACAAACTGTGGTGCCACACTTGCCCGCAGGAGGAAGTCTTTTGGGACGTACAATGTGACTGTAGAATAACTTAAAAGAAGAAATTCAACCACTGAAATCGGGCTTACTAATCAAGTTCCTCGATGAAATAGAATTCACCGGTGTGTTATAGGCACAGAATGGGGCTCCTAAAGGGTCCAGTATATTACACCACGACCAATATATCTACATCTACATCTAAAATCCTACCAATATCCAACGAATTCAGTCCTTCCAATCCGAAGTCCTTAGAATCATAGCCAACGCTCCCTTTTGTCTCCAATACCACTCTCCACAACGACCTCAAAATACCCATTGTAAATAAATTAATCCCCACCAAATTTTCCACATTTCATGAAAAACTACCTTCACATCCTAACACATTAGCTCGATCCGTGTCCAACATTACTCATCCCTACAAGGCGATTGAAGCGGAGTTGACCCCGGGACCTCCTTATGAATAGTTCATAAATAACTATTCAAAAAACTCGGAGAGAAACAATGGATCTCCCCTGAGGATATATGCAAATGACAAATATTATGTCACATTACATAATGTATATATTTCTATACGCTGTAATAAAAAAAGTGTTTGTATTTTGTTGAAATCAAAGTGGTGTTGTTTTTCAAAATGGTGTGCGCCCAATGCTGTGCAATTAGTTTTTTGATGTTTTTCAGTCATAGATGTGTTGTTTTTTCCGTTTTTCAAGATATTGCGGTGTAATTCCAATGTATGTAGCTGGATAGTTCATTCAATTAATTTTATAAATTACATCGGATTTGTAGACTGTTTGTGCTGAGTTTTTGACCTTGGAAAAAAGTGTGTGTGTTCTGTTTTGTCGTTTTTGAAGGCTATTTTAATGTGATCTGAGGGGAGATATTTTCTTAATTCGTGTAACAATGTGTGGACGAACGCAATAGACATGTATGTAGGTTTGTCTTTCCGTAATTGGATTGATGATGTGTTCTGTACTCTAGAGAATGTTGTTTTGTGTAGTGTTGGATTGTAATTGTTTATAATTCTGTTAATTATGTTTTTAGGCTAGTTGTTGTTATGTAAGATGTATTTTGGTGAAAGGATTCACGACTTAGGGATATGATTCTGTGAAATAATCCATTAGCCGTGTTTATTATTGTGTGGAGGGGATGGTGTGATGTATAATTCAGGTAGCGACCTGTATTCATTGGTTTTTGGTATCAATCTGTAGTTAGTGTGCTATCTGTTTGTCTTATTACAAGTGTGTCTAGGACCGGTATTTTATTTTCTGTCTCGACTTCATGTGTGAATTGTAAACGACCGCTCTTCATTACTTCAACAAATAATTGAACATCGTCGCTAAAAACACAAATTACATAGAATTAAAAAGCCCATCATGTGTGTAAAATGATGTTTAATAAATAAAATGAACGGGTGGAATTTTAGTTTTAACTGGTGTGTTTTATGTATTCGCTCTTCGGGAGGCTGCTATTACCCAGGAACCGACTAGGTCCGATTTTTAATGCACTACTTCGCAAAAAATTAACTCAGCCTAGGGAATGTAATCAGCCCTTTCACCGACTTAACCGGGGAACACTGACCCGATGCAACGCTATGCGACGCTGCCCGATGCTACTGGAAGCAAATCCAAAGTCCATTTTTCCATAAGGTTGTATTACACCCGCGCACATCAGCCCGATGCCACGCAACGCTACCCTACTCCTCGCTCTGCGATCCCCACTGTCCAAATTTTCGTCGGGTAGCATCGAGTACAGTCGAAGACAAAAGAACCGGACACTCATATTTTTATTCAAACTACATGTATTATTGTCGTTATATTAATTACAACATACTTATTTTAATATAAACCAAATTAACTGTGATTAAAAATTAATTAGTTTTTATTTAAAAAATTAATTTTAATGGTTTGGTAGAAAATTAATCAAAACACCGGAATACGATTTTTTGATATAATGAATTTAACTAACAATTTATTGTACTCGCTTCGGCGGTACATATACTAAAATTGGAACAATTTATTACACGGTTTTGCTCATAAAATTTAATTAACAATTTATTTCATAGTTTTGCTCGTAAAATTACACCATTTTGTAATGTCGGGTAGCATCAGAACAGGACACTCATATTTTTTGTAGTTTATTTCAAACTAAGTACATGTAATTTTGTCGTTATATTAATTACAACATTCCTATTTTAATATAAACCAAATTAAACGAGATCAAAAATTCATGAGTTTTTATAAAAATTATTTAATTATGATGGTTAGGAAGAAAATTGATCAAAACAACGGACTAACTTCATTTAAAACAATTAAGTTTAACAAACAATTTATTACATAGTTGTGCTCATAAAATTTAACTAACAATTTATTTCATGGTTTTGCTCCAAATAATGCATTAAGAACAAAAGAGGCGTTGCGATTGCGATACTGATTTGTGATACACGCTGTGATACTGCTCTTGACGTCGCATAGATGTGCACACCCTACCAAAACGTGACAAGGCGTCGGGTATCGTCGCATAGCGTTGCATCGGGTAAGTGTGTTCCCGGCTTTAATCGTGCTTACACGTCCGTTATGCTTTGACCTGCGACTCAATCCCATCAATCTGAGTTTTTTCGTTTGGCGGATGGCCTAAATAGAGATCTCGCGAGCTGATCAAAAGAGTTAACTCACGGCACTGAGCGAGCGATGAACCGGTCTGACAAAAAAACATCTTTAGCTCTCATATCTCCACCACTCCGATACCGATATTTAGCGATTTCCACTCAATTTTGAATTTTATTTTTACCACCACTCTGTAACTTGGCACGATAAAGAAAATGTTTTTCTAAAACGTACGTCACACCAGACCGCATCTCACGATCTCCAAATAATCATATTTTATAAATATTAATTTTGGCTCTAGAAATTGATAGGAGAGGAATCAGGGTAACAATAGCATAGATGAAAGGACATACGGGTTTCAGACACAATGAAGTAGTGGATCAACTGGCAAAAAGCGCCACAACTGGCACCCTTCTTGTTACACCTATACCAATATCTCATATGCGTCCAATCCTTAAAATACAATGAATTAGCAGCGCGAATACCTCAAGAATGGTAAAAGTTTAAAATACAAAACCATGTTTCCACTTATAGGCCTCGCACCTTGGCTCCAGGGAGAAAACATTCCGAAATGCTTGTAGACAACAATGACTCGGTGCGACGTCTGCGGGAAGACACGAGGACTTAAACCACATTTTGATGGAACGACGAAGTAAGTGAAGGTGGAAAGAGGAAACTGACTTAAGGCCTGGTAAAAGCCGCGTCCGACTTACAGGGATCTGATGACAGCTGAAATAAGAACGTTGTTATACATCATGAGATTTACGTGTTCTTAAGGACAATACGAATGAAAGTATAGTGAGGCAAAAAAAAAAAACCCTGCGGAAACTTAAAGACTTAGGATATGAACCCTTACCGCGCCCTCCACATTCACCCGACCTTTCGCTAGGCATTTTGATCACTTCTTGAAAATTTTTAGAGAACGCGGCAAAGCCGAAAACGCCTTTCAAAACTTCATTGTGAGTTGAAATAAAGATTTTTATATCAGCGGAATAAAAGCTCTTATTAGTAGAGATTGTGATGAAAAATATTTCGGTTAGATTTTCTTTATTTTATAAAAATCAAAAATAGTTTTGACTGCGTTTTGACACATAACATGTGTACTCTCAATGATGACCCCGGTTATGCAATAAGGAGGAAGAAATAACCAACCATATCATATTCGAATGCGAAGCAACCGGGTAAAAAAATAACAAAAAAAACACAATTCTCAAATCGGGTGGCATTCCTGCCGCTCTTTGGCTGGAACCAAGGAATTGCACCCTTCAATTAGGTGGGACACATCGAGAAACCTTTCTCTCCAGGCCAGATACATTCTAGTATACTGTTCCCGAAAGTAAATGTCCCGGTATGGCAAGGAACTCCGCCGCATAGCTGAGGGTGAGCTGCTCCCTCCGAAATTCGGGCGGCAGCACTCCCAGCTCGCAGCACAGGCTGGCTAAAGTGCTTGTTCTGAACACGCCAGAGACCGCTCGGAGAACTTGATAGTAGAGCCTATCGAGCCTCTGCAGGCGCGATTTTCGAGCCTGAAGAATAGGCCATGCAACCATAAAACAGGGTGGAGCTCAGCAGCGAGTCAAATATTTTCAGGAGGGTCTCCCTGTCCGCTCTTCATCTGAAGTGACTGATGAACTTTAATAATGTTTTTACTTTCCTTCCCATCACCTCGACGGCGTCAATGTGTGGCTGCCATCTAAACTTTTGAACAAATGAGGCCGAGGAACCTCATTGACTCTTCGTACCTTATCGCAGCGCCCTTCAGACAGGGCTGCAGAAGGATGGGCCCTCCTCAGCTTGCAAAAGTGGACGCATACGGTTTTCGACGCAGAGAAGGCGAATCAGGTTTCCTCGGCCATTCCAGCCACAACGTTTATGCTGTCCGACCTCCGCTTGGTCTTTCTCTGAAAAGAAAAAGCAGAGGTCATCGACGTACAGTGATTGGTCGGGAACACCGTCAGCGACACCGTTCACTGCGATCGAGAAAAGAGTAACGCTTATCACTGAACCTGAGGGACTCCATTCTCAAAGCACTGACCCCCAACTGACACGGAATCTTCGGTTCCTCAAGAAAGCCTGAAGGAATTTGCCTCCAAATAGCCCATCTCCGAAGTATTGCACATCTCCACGTCGTATCATACGCCTTGTTGAGGTCAAATAACACAGCAGAGCGTGCTCTCTATTCAGAAACGCATTCTAAATATCACTCTCTAAAAAGCAAGCATGATCAAGTGCGGAACGATGTCTACGTAATTCCGCCCGATACTGGCTGTGAAACCCTTTTGTCTCAAGACACCAGTTTTATACCTAGTTATTATGGAAAATAAACAAATAAGTGTTCGGCTTTTTTGTCTTTGGGTGTACTAAGCATAGACAACAGAAACAGTTTGTGTTTATTTCTTTATACGTGCATCCGGTGCTGTTGTTTTTGTGTTATTTGAATTGACAAATGATTATCCATATGATAAGTTTATGAAAGTTAACAGCGATGGCGTACGGCGCCATGGGAGCAACTCCCCCTTTTTAGCTACTATTTCACATCCAATAAGTGTATAAATAGATTTCCATCCTCAGGCTATTTTTCAACCACTCGAATTTATTTCCCCAGGTAAAAAGTAGCCTTTTTAGACTTTTCCGACACAATTTACTTACGCTTTATATAGGTTTTTGTTGTACATTTCCAAAAAAGTAAGTACAAAACGTAAGATTGCAGGGAAACGTTTGAAAATTTAAAATTTGAAAAAAGATAAACCAGGATCTTTTTTCATTTAGTGGGCCGATTTTTATAATACTTTCCACCAAATAATTGCATAATTTACGTTAATTTGTATTACTTTACTTATTTACCAAAATATCAATAAGGGTTCTAATTTCTTGAATCAATACAAACTTTTTAACCTTTTTTTTTTTTTAGAGAGAGAGAGAGAGAGAGAGTGTGTGTGTAATTTCAGAAATAAATAGCTCTATTCCAAAATAAAAAATAAATTGTAAACAAATATTTACTTTATTGTATTGAACTAATTTATTAATAATTAAACCTTGTCGTCGTATTATTGACTAAACCCAAATTTTCAACATTTTTATCGTTTGCATTCTACAAAGGTGTTGCCAGAGTTGTTTCGATATTTTGTTTTTCTTAAAAAAAATTAATTTGTTACCTTGAGGTGTGACGGTTTCTTGGTACTGTACAGTCGAGTAGTAGTTGACGCTGGAAATGTTCATTTTAGACTAGAGCCGGGATGAATGTGCGCCGAGGATCTTTCTTCCCCCACAATGTCTCCTTTTCCTCCTACCCCAAGTTTTCCACTCAATTCTGCCATTGATATTTACTATTGCAACTAGGATTAAATGAATCATAAGAAAAAAACATGTTTTTCTTTAAAGATCTACCTAATCTGTGCCCTTGATCAGGAAGAATCCAAAGGAATCGAGAATAGAAAAAAGGACTAAGTTATCCTTCTTTATGGTGTCAAATGTTGGACATTCTCATTAAAATCTATTTGATAAAGACATATTTTATGGTACTGATTACATGCAAAAGTGATTGGATGTTATAAATCAAATTGGATACTTAAGTTCTTTCTTATAAGACTACGTATAAATGACTTGCAATCGGATATCCGCCACCCCTGTTCAGCATAATGCTAATTCAAAGGTAAAATATTAATTAATATAGTTTTAATATTGAGAAATAGTGCGTTCAGATCTGAGAAATGGTGAACGATTACTTGATTGTACTGGTCCGCCCATCCTCGCTGTTTTATCTGTTAGGAGGGTTTCGTTTGCTGTACAGGTTTTTCTTCTCTTTAGGTACTTTATGTTGGTTGTTAATATGGCTGAATACGACAATATTTAATTCTGCTATTTAACATATTGAAAATTTTTTGGATTAATCTGACAGGACAAGAATTTTATAGTTTCCCTCGAAATCTGCTGTTGGATCAGTCTTGAATCACTCAGATCATTCTTTTGCCGGTTTTCAAACGGTCTGTGCGTTTTCTTGACCGTCCGTCCTCTTTGTTCGTTCTTAATATGGCTGAATAGACATTATTTAAATCTGGTATTGAACATGTTGAAAATTTTCCTGGATTGATCTGACACAGCAAGAATCGTATTTTCCCCCCCAAAATCTGCAGTTTGATCCGTCTCACCCAGGTAATTTCCTCGCCGATTTTCAATGTCATTATGAACGGTTGGTCTGTGCGTTGCCCGTCTATCCTTTTTGTCGGTTCTTACCACGGCGGAACACAACGTGTCGCATTGTCATCACAAACAAACGGATAACCTCCGTGAATACTCTGTGAAAAATATAAAGATTTCACGTGTCCTTCAGGCAAAAAGAGGCATCAAAGTAATTTCAGCCTAATTTCTTCAAAAAAAAGGTTTGATTTTATGTTTAACCCAAGGCGGTATATCTTAAATGGCTAGTCTAGACAGTAAAATTCTTTTTCTTATTACTTTATTACTAATGGACATTGGGTCTAATAAAAATTCCCTTTCGCGTCTATGATATGTTCTTTCTCTCCGGAAATTCCCAGTAGGACCGTTTAAATACACGTGTCCCTCAGAGATTATTTTTTGTGTTTTATTTTATGTAGTGGGAAGAATCGAAGAAAGAGTGCATTAACGAGGTCCTATTTTGATTTAATTAGACCATCGTTGTTTACGAATTTAACGAAAATCATAAATGTTAACTTGTTCAATGTTGTTTTTAGCTATGAAATTGTGCCGAAATAGAAATTGTAATTTTTTTTGTAAATTGTAGTTAAAAAGCTTCTTCCCCTCTCTAAAAAAAAACCTTTGTAGCTTAAATTTGTAGCAGGATGATGTGAACGTTTCAACGAGCTTAATAGGTGTGTAGTTAGTTACACCCAGATTTCCCCGTTTATAAACAATCTGCTTCGTAAATAGATCTTTTTTTTCCACAATTTTTTACTCCCCTCTTCCTGTATCAAGAGAAATTATCTCTCCTTTTTTGTGCCCCTGGGGGTAGGGCAGTTAGTGTTTGTATATTACTTTTATGATTGACGTAGGAAAATATACAAACGGGAGAAGGTCGGAAAGCGCGGCTGTTAAACCGGGGACCAGTGTATCATTGCTCCACCGTTTAGGTCTTAAGGTATTATGTTCACCTACCGGTCGGATGGATCAATTTTGATCTTTTTTTTCTTCAATATCCTACCTTCATTAAGATGTAACAAATGAAATTTTCAAAATAATATATCGATTTTGGATTGTTATGAGTTGTAGCTTTGCGAACTTTTGAAAGACATCTAAACATAAAATATAAACGACATATGTGCTGGCAAATTACATCAATAATTTCATTTACTGTTATAAATTGCATTTGAAAGAAGAAAAAAAACGTGATTTGCAAACTTCTGATGGTTTTATTGGAATAAAGGATTGAAGAAAAAGGTAAAACTTAATGATATGGATGACGATGTGAAGTCCATAGTCCATGTTTTATTTCATGGTAGTTTTGCAGCTGATTTGACCGAACTTAATGTTAGCGTGAGTATCTTTCAGTAAGTTTAAATAATATTAAGTATTGATAATAGGGCATTAGTTTTACAGAGAGTTATTAAGAGTAATTTGTGATTTTTCGCTGATTTCTAATTATAGTTATTTGTAAATCATAAAGGTAGAATCTTATGAATTTTTCCAAAGTTCTTAATGGAAATCCTTTGAAACAGAAATAAGTTAAACATTTTTGTAAAATATTGGTTGAAATGAAAAAGACAGTGTCACGATCGGGATTCGAACCAACGACTTTCGGCTAAATACGCCGCTGCTTTACCACTTGAGCTGTCGTGACTTAGATCCTCTCGAACACCAACCTCCCATCTGAACCCATCTTTCGAATTTCCCCTCCGTTTTCCCATTTTCGAAAATTCGAAAGGTAGGCAGAGATGGGAAGTTGATGTCCGAGTGGATCTAAGTCACGATAGCTCAAGTGGTAGAGCTGCGGCTTATTGAGGCCAATGTCGTGGGTTGGAATCCCGCTCGTGACACTGACTTTTTCATTTCAAGCAATATCTTACATAATGATTAATTAATTGAAAGAAGTTATTTGGTCAATCGGACCACGAAATATAATGATTTTTGTAAAAGTCCGGTCTTCTACTTTTTTGAATGGGATAAGATTGTGGTTTTCGGGAGGCTTCAGGCTGACTATCTGGTGTCAAATGTTTATTAAACGTTTCGATTAACTCTCGATTGTTTACGGATCGTCAAGGCTGTGCTTCATCGTGAAGCTTAGTAAAACTTTTATTTTTAGGCGAATACTAAAAAGTTGTAAGACACTCGAGAAGTTACAGTTTTTAAAACTTGCTGTAACATCATAATAAAGTGGTTAGAAGGCGATTGTTGCTGTATTCTTCCGGTACTGACAACGTACAAAAAAAGACACAAATACACATTCACATAAATAACCTCCGCGTATGTGTCCGGAATGCGGATAAAGGTTGCTCGATGTGTACACGTGAATGAGGGGTGCAACTTCTTGGCTACATATAGAGAGCGAGTAGTCAATGCCACCAGATATGAGAATTGTGCGTAGCACGGCAGCGAGTATTTGGGTCCCCCGTTCCGATTCTTGTAATAAGCAGGGTTGTTTTATTGTATTAAGTTTTGCACCGGTGACTTGTGAATGCATTTATTAGCGTGAATCTGCACTGTGAGAGGGTCGAAGGCAGACCTTGGAGATGGAGGAATATCGTGTAATTTATTTACACATGAGATTCCGCACATATATCGGGTTGTCCGGAAAATAATGCAGGATTTTAAGTTTTCATTAAAAAAAATCTATATAAAATATTCTGTTTACGTTTACAGGATTACTCATTTGTATGAATNGGAAATTATTTTGATTAAAGAACATTGCTTTAAAGTAACTAGTTTCTTTTTTTTTGTTTAATACCAAAATCCTGCATTATTTTCCGGACAACCCAATATATATATCCACACGTGAACTGATTGAACTTATCACTTCTCGCAGTACACCGTCAATTCCTGCTTTTGTAATTTACAATAATATGGATTCCATCGACCTTTCTCTACGTGCCGGACAGATATGGACTTTGGCTCAAAAGTGTGTCTCCGTGTGTGTGAACCTCACATGGTATTTATTTTCATCAGCTTATTTTGAGCTTGTTTTATTTCCTTTTCATATTAATTATCTGTTTTTAGTTTCAGTAAATTAGTTCATTTATTTTTATATTTTTTCAATTTTTGTCTCAATGGGCTAATAGAATTATCGGAAATATTCTCTAACTTTTCGAGATGTAATACATTTAATCTTTTGAATCATCCGTTTTTACAAACCCCAAAAGCTTTCGGAGTTGTGTAAAAAAATTACAATCTAGTCCTGACATTCTCCAAAATATGCATCATGTTGAAGTCTTTTGTGACATTCCGATTTCATTTTGCCAACTCGTTTGCAAATTTCTTTTCTAATGTCTACAATAAAATTTCACTGGATATCACGTCTCAGTCTTCCTCAAATTCCTTTTCTGCTCTCTCTATTCCTTGTGATGCAATTGTTTCCGAAATGATTCCCTTAAAAACTCCGTCCATTGGGTGCTGATGCCATCCCTGCAATACTTCTTAAAACCTGTTTAGCTTCTTAGTTCCCTTCTACACACTATTTAATCAATCATCATATCAAATATCTACAAGTCAGTTTCCAAACTTCCCATTTATAAATCTGACGACCGTAGAGGCGTGAAAAGTTATCTCCCTTGTAGTATTCTTTCTGTTATCCCAAAATTATTGGAAAGCCTGATTTACGATCAATTAACTTCGTAATTAAACTCTGTTATACTTACCGAACAACACGGCTTTATGCTTAAACGCTTAAATACCACTAACTTTGTTACTTAGCAACACTGTCTTATCTACGTTACAATCAAAACATCAACTTGATGTCATTTTTTTGTCTCAAAAGTTTTTGATTCCTTAAAAACTGACATTCTTGTACATAAAATTCACCAAAAATGAGATATCTAGTGTTCTCGCATGGTTTCAAAATTATCGTAGAGATAGGTTTGAAATAGTTAAAATTCGTTCTTCCATTTTTCATTTCTTTTGAATTTTATGCTTGTTCTGGCGTCTTAATAGACAACAAAGGAAAATATATCAGGAGAAAATTATACAATATACAGATGGCTAAAAAACAAATGAAGGAACCGGAGCAGACATTTTCTGTACAAGCGCAAAACATGAGCAATCAAACTCATCAGGAAAGTGGACCCCGG